GGGCCGACCACATGAAGGAGGAGGTATCTAGGTTTGTTGTATGTGGACCATGAGGATTAAATATTGATTGAAATCAAATATGAAATTAATTTCAGATTTATTTAACTGTATGGAGGTTTCCTAAATTGAAATTTATTAGGGAGGGAATTATTTGAATTCAAATATTGAATTGAATTCAAATAAATAAGCTTTCCTAATTGGTAGGAGTAATTTTAGGAAAGTAATGAAGGATGAATTTGAATTTTGAAATTCAAAATTCAAGGGTTATGTGAGGAGGGATTGGCGGGTTGGGCAAGGGAGGGAGGTGGCTGAGGGTGGGGACTGCCGGCGTCTGCTTATGGCGGCCGGCGGTTGAGAGGGCCAAGGGGCTGACGGCGTGGGGATTATGGGAGGTGGGAGGTTCGGTTTAAGAGGAGAAGGGGATGGGGATGATGAGGTTGATGAGTTGGGCAAGAGAAGGAGGATGGGGGCTGTGGTGGAAAGGAAGAAACGATGAACCGCGAACTTTGGAATCCACCAAGATTGATGGGTATTGCTCTCACCCACTTAGGGTTGCTCTTCTCAAGAACTCACCAAGAGATCATACAAGAAAGTGGAAATTTCATTCATAAGCATCATTAACCATTACAATGCAAGAGGCCACATGTAAATAGGCCCAAATGAAAGAAAATTGAAAAGACTTAAGTGCCCTCGGGCTACAACATAGACTCAATTCCCCATAGGGGTAAAATGGGAAAACTCAAATACAACATAAAACATAAAACATAAAATACATAAAAAATATAGATTCTGAATCGTAGCAGTCGATCCATTACTACGTCGACAATACACATGTCGAAATCTCTGACTGATGTCCTCATCATTTTGGATCTTAAATATATATTTCATTATCAAAACCAAATAATGAGAACCAGATAGAGTCGAATATAAATGTGGATGCTTGTTCATCAATAACTTTCCAACAACAATATTACACAACATCCAATAAAAAAACTAAACTATTCCGAAGAAACATAAACTTTCATAATAAGTGTAGTGAGTTGCTTGCATTATTAATGACCACTTGACTGGCACAATATGTTCCAATCTCTTCAATATATTTGCTCAATAAATGGAAAAATATATGACTTTTTTTTAATAAGAGCTTGCATCTACTGGTTCTTTAAATATGGTTTCTCTTGGGTAATTAACCAATAAGTTTATTAAATTTTTCTTATTAAGAGGTGTCTCCAACAAACAATCTTCTTTATGGCATTGAATGTATTGGGCCTCTTTCAAATATGGATTTCTGCACCTAATGATAGCTTGGACGTTGTCTTCCATGATCAAATTATCTATGTGCCTCCACTATTGTCAAAAAAACAATTATCTTTAATTTCTTTGAAGGGAATACATGTATTATACTTTCATCAACAAGACACTTGAAATGTTCTTTCCCTCATCTCCATTTTAACATCTTTGTTTTTTTGCATTTTTCTCTTCTATATGTGCTTCAAGCGTGCATCATCAAAACACTTGAAATGTTATTTCTGTCATCTTTTTTCTAGCTACATCATTTTTTTTCATTTTCCTCTTTTATTTCTTTGCCAGTTTAAAGATATTCGGTGTTAAAATGTATCTAATGGTCCTTTACATTTGATATTTTTAGCATAGAATTTATAGTACTTGATTTTGATTTTGATAGTACTTTGATTGTCCAAGACATAAAATGTCCTTATTCATCTATTGAAAATCATCTTCATGTGGCATTTGATGAACTTGTTCTTTTAACTCCATTTTTTATTCACACACTTATAAATATCTTCATTCACATGCTGAGGGTAGCTACTAGGAATTTTAAAGTTTCTATAGCCCCTAGTTAGATAGTGTTTATGATGAACAATTCCTCCTTTCATTATTTTATCATAGAAAGTACTATTATTTTTTTTATCAAGATGGTATATTTCCATGTAGGACCCTTTCTAAAAATTTGATCTAAAATGAATATTTTCTTTGTTATGTAACTAATAAATGAAACTATGGGATAATTCAACTTAGCATTATTTTTAAATAGTAAGATTATAATTTTTCAAATTAAACAGGAAAAAATTATGTTCAAATGCTAAATCAAATTTAGATCAAACATTGGAAGAAATAATGAAGGAGACATGAATTTCAAGGCAATGAGAATCAATTGTCTACGTTCCTTTGTAATGGAAAGAAAAAGTGAAGATAGCAAAATAGCTGAAGAGGATCAATCATCAGCATATTTTGTGAAATCTTCTATTTCCTCTAGGGTTAGTTAAATCGTATTAATTGTCCTGAGATAACTCAGCAAAAGGAGGTCAACAGAGGACATTAGGCGAAAAAATGTATCATGGTTGACGACAGGGGTTGGTGATGGTTAATGGAGGGCATCGATGTTGGCGGCAGTGGGCATCAATAGTGGTTAATTGCTAGCATCTATGTTGTACGAGAACAAGTGTTTGTGGTGGTGCATCTTCTAAAATTCCCCTAATCTCAGAATCTCTCCACAAAAGTTCTCTTTGGGAATCCGCCTTGAATGTGTTTGAGGAAGGTCTATTTATAAATTTCTAGAGAGGAACTTTTAAGCATTTCTATCATAACCTAGGATACTTCATTTGACAGGCTGAAAGTTGGCCCCTCTTGATAATTTAGTGTTTTCTAGACATTTTAGTGCCTTAATTGTATCAAAATTGAACAATCCTAGGCTCGTTGAATTTCTCTCTTCAATTTCTCCGTTTTGATTATAAATGTGCAAAATTTAGAGATTTGGTCTCTCAAATGATCTCTCAAACTTTTCAATTATACTTTTTTTTTCTTTTTTGATGATATCCTCCATGATCATAAGTTTTCAATTATACTTGAGCGCTTGATTTGGGCTATTTCTTTCTTTAGTAGATTTAAACGAGAATTTGACTTTTAACCGGACACAATGGCGAAAAAAGATTCATGTAGCCGACCCCACGTAGTGGGACAAAGGCTTGATGTTGTTTGCTTGATTTGGACTATTTGGATTTAGATTAAGACATTATTGATATTATTGGATTTTTTTTATTTAAATGCTTATTTTATACATGTTTCTTTGGAGGATCTTAAAGTATATTATGAAATTTCCAGTCCAAAATTGTGGGAAAGAATCGCAAGATCTATACGTAAACTTAAAGAAACTTACCTGGAGAAATAATCGCAAGATCTGTAAAACCCTCTAAGATTCTACATCCGATGACACAATATTTGAGTAAATTGAAAATTTATTTTATTACTTAATGCTCCTTGTGATGTGAAACATAAATGCCATGTACTTGCCTAAGTGACAAGATTAATTAAATCCAATCAATTTGGGGAGAGAGAATGAAAATCTGAAATTAAATTTCAGATTAAGTGGAATTGCAGGATGAATTTGAATTTAAACTCAAATTTAATGGGGAGAATTAAATTGGATGAGGGGGAATTGTGAGAGGTAATTATGGAGGCTTAATGAGGGGGCCTATTAATGAGATAGGAGAGAGATGGGAAATTTTAAGTAGGTGGGGACCACAATTAATTAATCAAAATCTGAAATTTAGATTTCAGATTTTAATTATATCATGTAACTCCCTTCTTTAAAGAAAATTACCAATTGATCACAAAGATAATGGAGAAGAAGGTCTAGAACTCACAAAGAGATCTAGCTCTTCTCAAAACTCACTAAGAGATTTGAGAGAGAGATGCACTCACAAAGAGAACACAAAGTAGAGAACTCACTAAGAGATCTCAAAAGAAAAAGAACTCACTAAGAGATCTAAAAGATGGAACTCACAAAGAGAACGCAAAAAGCAAATTTTCATTAACCATTCATCATCCCATTACATAAGAAAGGGCCTCTATATATAGGCCTAAGAAACTAAAACAAGACACATATGCCCCTAAGGCTTACATAGGACGACCCTCTTAAGTGAGGGTAAAAGCGGAAAATTCATAATAAAAATTTAAAAATTACAAATAAAATATAAGATAACGTGGGACGATGACAGCCGTTGATCTTCAGCTCCTCGGATAGTCATGGACGGTTGGATGTCCGCATCACCTTGATTTTTACATGTTGTTGAGGTCTTAAATATAGCCTTGAAAGGACCCAAAATAAGAAATCCGATCTAGGAGATCATACTTAATGATATTCCAATTTCAATTGAAAAAATGAAATTTTATGCTAAATTAAACTGGTTTTTTTTACTATTACTTTGAGAAATAAAACAATAAGTTGGCCTTTCTGTCCAATATTCAATGAAACATGCACCTAGTTGGAAGTCATCATAATCATTATTAGTCATATCCCAATTATTTGTGATTGACTTTCTGAACACTTTCATTCGTACATGCTGAGCATTATCCGAGAAATAAAACTTATTCTTCATAAATTTTTTTAATAAACTTCTATCCTGGTTTGTGTTTGTGCAGAGTGCTGAGACAGTTAAACTTAATTATGTGATTTCATTATGCAAAGCAAGTAGTATGGGCTTCAAAGTTAGAAGCATAAGTTTCAAACTGAGTAGCTTTTGAAACATGGTTTTGAGGTGATTTGCGTGTGCTTTATTTCTAAACAAAAAAGGTGACCTATGAAGTGAGTCTGGCTGTTTGTGGGGATTGAAGATGTTATGTGCAGAGCAATTTGTTGCAATTTACTACCGAAGCTCTAACTGAAATATGATTTACACCTAATGTTACTGCTTGCTACACACAGCCTTAGCTGGAATTTATTAGTACCTCAAGCGGCTGTTAATTATGTATTATTTGGAGCCATTCAATAGATGCATGTAAGGTCATGCTTGATCACCATAGCTTTTATTGTCATGGAATGCACAACATAGTCACAAGTAAAAAATGGTAAATATGGGTTTTAAAAGTCATCTACAATTATTTAGATTAAGGTTTGACAATGATGTTGATGCAATGTATGATATTTAATCTTCTTTCATCATGAACATCTTGAAAAGCTCATCAAATCTTTTGTTTTGCAGGCCTCAGGTGACAATAGCTACTGCAATAGTATTTTGTCATCGCTTTTTCCTTCGCCAATCACATTCAAAGAGTGACAGGATGGTGAGCCTTTCATGCTTTTTCCTCTCTCTTCCTCTTAATTGCTTTTTCTCCACCAATCTCATGCAAAGAATGAATCATCTTCATTGTTTTTTCTTCACCATTCTCATGCAAAGAATGAGAGGTTAAGCCCTTCATTGTAATATTGCTTGTTGTTGCTGTTGTTTCTTATTTTTCTTCTCCTTCTCATCCCCCTTTTTTTGGTGCAAGTACATTCAAAGAGTGAGAGCTTGGTAAGCTTTTGTTTGTTTGTTCTTCACCCTTTATGTATTAATTTAGTTCACAAAATTATGCCAAAATTTTAGCTGCAAGCTCACCTACTTCTTTCCTGTTATGTTGTCATGTTTTTTGAATTCATATAGCTGTTACTTCTTGCATGCTGGTCTGGATGGCTTCAATTGACTATCAAACGGAGCTCTGAGTACTCACTTTTTAAGCCTTATGATATATTTAGCAGAATGGCTTCGAGCCTTTGATTGGATTTTATCTTCTGTTAATTCTTCCTTTTAATCGAATTTATGTGCATTCTTCTGTTAAAAATCTTAATTTTGAAAAATTACTGCGTATGTTTGGTGGATCACATTTTTTGTTTTGTCAGGCCTTAGTCTGGAATTTTTTGGTATAGGCTGAAAGTACGGTAATCTGACCAAATGTAACAGATTTAGCTTTTCTCGGTTAAGTTTTAAGTGACTATCTTTAGAACCTAAATCTTCTCGGGAAAATGAAAATTATGCGTGGGATGGCATCTCAGATTGTTGTAGTTTAATTCGAACTTTGTTAACATGTCTAAGCAAATGACATGGATCCAAATTCTCTTGAATTTCCAATGCGTATGAACTTCCTAATTAACTGTTGTCAAATGGAAGGAACTGCAGGATGGAAATTCGATAGAAACCCTAGATTCAAGGTATCCGTTCAATCTTAATATCTTGCAATTGTATGCAAGTTCTGGCAATTGTGCATAATATTAGCATAATATGGCTTTAATTTTTTGTCTCATGAAAATTATATGGTAAGAAAGCTATGGCAAAAACGTGAATTCTCTGAATGAATGAAAATTGAAATTTGAAACCTTGTTTTACATAAAATTTGATATTACATTAAAATGCCAGATAAATACGACTCGTCACATTATATTTCATTATAGGCGTTGAAGTTACATGGAAAATTGTTGCTGTGTAGGTCTTGCCCAATTTTACTGCAGAATGCGCGTCTATAGGATTTATTTGTTATAGTACAAAACAACCTGAAAAACTCCCAGATTGCGACTGATATCACGTGCAGAAACCATGGTTTCAAGACTTGGTGATCAAAAAAGCCTTTTCACTGCTGGCACCAAACCGACCAAAAGATAGAAATTGTGATGAAACAAACTGTGCCACACTTAAACACTGTTCCAAATGAAGTCTAAAGCTTTAGATAATCATCTCACATTAAGTACAATTCTTCTATTAAAGAAGTTGGAAGTTGGAAATTTTGATGCATATTTGGCCCCATTGGGAGGTGTTTATTATTATTTTTTAAACAAATATGCTGTTCAGTTTTTGCTGAGAAAGATCTGAGGTCAAATAATACAAGAAATAATTGGATTCCTACAGCCAACATTTGAAGGTACAGGAACACTTTTTAAAGCCTAACATTTTTTTTATTAAAAATAAAAAGGAACATGGCTAAAGAATTTGAAGGAGCAATGTGATGCTGGCCTTATTAGTAATAACCAAAGGTCGAGGATCAAATTAGGATAGATGATTGGCTACTCCAGTTGGTTTCTTGAACAGGCTTTAAGATGGTTGTTAGAAAAGCATTCTCTTTTCTTAGCCTTTCCAAAGAATTATTTGTATATCAACCTTAGCTTATATTTAAATAGTAATACTCAAAAACTACAAAACTTAATGGTGTCATCATGTTTTTAAAGCGTAGAGGCTAGTTCAATCACTAAGAAATTAATAAGCGTTTAGGATCTTTAAGATGCAAGGGACTCAATATTTGAAGTTGCATATAAATGTAGCCCATTTTAGTGTTTGATTTATAGATGGAGGTTGAAGGCTATGCAAGACAGTGAATAAGAAAGTTATTTTTTGGTGAGGAAAATTTAAATCATTTTTAACATGTGACATTTCAATCAATGTAGTATGCTATTATGAAGCATGTGACATTTCAATCAATGCTTTGCAAATATTTGAAGAGGATACATACGAATGGTCATCTTGACATTTTTTCTGGCGCGTTTCATTATCAATTCTCCACTATGCTCTTATCCCTTGTGTCCCATAAATGCAGTTTATTGTGATGGCTTGCTTACTTTCAGTGCAATAATGTATAGGGTGATAGACTATGCACATTAAGTTGGTATCTTGGACGCACGGACATGGACATAGACATGGGACATGGATACGACACGATCTATGATGCACCGACACTTCTCCTCAAAGAGGCGTGCAGTGTCCGACACCGTGTCTGACACGACGTGTCAGACACTCGTCCAACACTCCTCCGACAAGCGTCGGACACGCCGAAAACGTGTCTGATTAAAAAAATATTAGAAACAAATTGGACACATGTGTTTGACACGCGTATCTTAAATATTTTATAATTTGTTTAAAATATAATTTCTTATATTTGGCTAGATTTAAACTAAATTTTTTATTTCCTATCCACAACACCAAATCAACGTCTGCATTTAATACCCATTCATCAAATATTCTCATTTTCATTTCTCTTTGGCAGTGAAGGTATTTTCATTTCCTCTCTTTTTGCACAATTACAAATCTTTTTCTTGTTGAACTAGAGTTGAAAGTAGTGATATTCAATGATGATGATATTGAAGGCCAAAAACAAACCTCTAAAGCTAATCCTAGTAGTTGAAGCTTGAATGCTTGATGTTGTAGTAAGTGATTATTTGCTTATATTTTTGTGGTTGTACAAGATATTTTGTACTAAATATTTTATATATAAACTAGACAAATTATCATGTCATTCATTTATTATTGTTTGTCATTTTTAATATGATATTACATCAATATATATACACTATATAAAAAAAATGTATTGTCGTGTCCGCGCCGTACTCGTGTCCTATATTTTCAAAAAAAGCCGTGTCCCATGTCCGTATCGTGTCGTGTCTGTGTCGCCGTGTCCGTGCATCATAGGACACAATACAAAAAAAAATCTATTATTAAAAATATAGGACATGGACGCACATTATACATGGTATTATAAATTTTATATTTTTAAATTTTAAAATAATGCATATAAATCAAATGAAATTAATAGAATAAACTTTCAGTGTTATAGCAGTGCTCATTAATTTTTATTTCATATTACACAATATACATAAAGATATATACAAAATATTAAATAACACAAATTAATAGAATGATAAACAAAATCATGTCATGATAATTGAAGCAACATATTATTTGAATTTTTTTTATTAATGATGTTTTGTTTTGTAATAAACTTATAGAGTTATAATTAAATACTATTTATCAGAACTCATCGTCATTCCCTTTAATTATTTAGTATTTATTTGGAGGACCATGAGCTTTGGCATCGAGAGGAGAGGATGCAAATCATCGCCTCATTGGGCTTTGGTGTTGGTTGTGGCATCGAGAGGGGAACAACGTCAATCGTTAGACTTTAGAGTCGAGTTTTGACGCCGATAGGGGAGAAGAAGTTTGGAAATGAGCATGCAAAAGCCGTGCTTTGGAAGCCTATGATTTGATTTATAGATCTGGTAATGTCAATCCAAACCCTAGTTGAGCATTGGGAGAAAGGAAAAAAGAAGGTTTGTGAGAGAAGTGTTGGAGAAGGAAATGGAAAATAGAAATGTAAGTTTTTTTTTTTTTTAATTTTAATCAAGTTTTAGGGCATCAGTGTTGGACATGCTTGTTAAATTTTTTCTTTTTTTTTTAATTGGACACTTGACAGCCAAGTTTGATATGTTGAATGTGTGTCTAACGCATCCGTCACTACAAACCCCCTTAATATGAAATGTTGTTGCATCATAAGTCGTAAGTTGGTAGTTAGTGAGGTCTATAAACTAGACTGTGTATCAAATTTGGAGTGGATAATTCTTGCATGTTACGTTGTTGTGTAGGCCTTTCATGCAAGGGCAGACCTATGCTTGCCCACCTAAAAAAATAATGTACTCTTTATGATAGGGATAATTCGATAATTTTCCCCCTACACCTCACATCTTGCCCTTTTTCCCTAGCCAATCGGCAGTCACGCATTATTTTCGAAATCGCGAACAACTCTCCGTCTCTCCCTCCCGGCTCCCTCATCTCTTCCAGCAGCCTGCAATCGCCCTTGAAGCTCCACAAAGCTGAAAAATTAGTGTGCGACCAGCGTTTCGTCGATCTTATTGTCTTCCTCAAGTAAGTAGTGAAATTTTTTTCCTTCACGCATGTCATTTGTTTTGTCTCCTCTTGTGGTGAGGTTATTATTGAGCAATGTTGCACGCTTTGATGTTTCTATGTTGATTGTTTCGTCTCCTTCTCATGTGGTGAGGTGTATTGAGTTTTTAATAGTTGCAAAAATGTCATTTCTCTTTGTCGTCTTGCCATCATTTTTTCTGTTCATGTTCTTCAGTCCTTTATGATGATTTGCTACTAAAATGTAAAATGTTTAGGTTCTACCATTAGAAGTAGAATGATCAGTGATCAGGGGCAGTTTTCAGGTAATTTCTTGAATAAAGGTTTTGTTTTGAAGGTTTTGCTTAGATTTCAAGTGTTTGGAATTTCCATTTCCTTCTCCAACACTTCTCTCACAAATCTTCTTGCCTAACATTTTCCTTTCTCCCAATGCTCAACTAGGGTTTGGATTGCATTGCCAGATCTATAAATCAAATCATAGGCTTCCAAAGCTCGGCTTTTGCATGCTCATTTCCCTGTCATTTCATATTTATTGATGGCTCTTTAGAAGCTTGGTGTTTGAGATTAGATTATTTCAGAGAGGTTAAAGTATTGTCTTGGTACACTTTTTTTATATGTTTGTTTCATTAATAAGCAGCTTGGTGTTTGAGACTAGGAATGTTATGTTACATTTTTTTTTTAATTTAACTTTTTTTTGTATTGAGTTTGCCACCCTCGAATGTGAAGCTGGCTCCGCCCCTGCTCTCATGGTTTGGCCCTTTCATTTTTGAGGTGGTATTTTAATGCTTTTGTGGATTTGGTGTATTATACTGAACCACAGATTCCATCGGCCAAAGGTTTTTTGAGGAATTTTGTTCATAGGAATTCCCTTGAGATTGGTTGGTTTTTTGAAATTATGGATGAGTTGCACATGTTTTTAAATCACCTAATGCGAGATTCTTTTTAAGCATGCTGAATAGGCTATTGAGCAGAAACCTTTAATTATGCTATTGTTTCTGAAGGAACGTTTGAAAATTCTTTCTACAGACAATTGCAACGGTTTGCATGTTCCTTGCTGGAAAGGTTGAAGAAACTCCTCGCCCCCTGAAAGATGTGATCCTTATTTCATATGAGATTATTCATAAAAAGGACCCGTCTACTGTCCAGAGAATTAAGCAGAAGGTATCTTTATGTTTTAAGCTTCTCCTTAACTTTGGATAGAGTCACCAATCTAAAATGGTGCTTTCCTGTGTTGCGCACGATGAATCATTCTGTGCGGACGCCGAACACGGTCCAGAGCCCAATGAAAATGTGCCACGTCACCCCTACTCGGTACCGCGGCTCGGTACTGCTCGATGTTGAGCTCGGTACTGGATGACGTGGCTACACCTAATTCGCCTCTGGATGGTAAGCTGTGTCCGGTGTCCGCACAGAATAATCTCTCGTTGCGCACACCCATCCTTTTTTTATTTTTTGTTACGCCACTATTATACTACTGCTCTAGTGGTTTTAGTTTTGTTTTTCTGTTTTTTTTTCTATTTTTATTTGGTCTTGTGTCTTTTATCTGGCAATTTATTTCATTGCTTTCTTTACGTGTTTTATTATGGTCCTTTTTCAGGAAGTGTATGAACAACAGAAAGAGCTCATCTTATTGGGGGAAAGGCTTGTTCTTGCTACTCTTGGTTTTGATCTGAATTTACTCCATCCATATAAACCGCTTGTAGAAGCAATTAAAAAATTCAAGGTGGCACAACATGCTCTTGCTCAAGTGGCTTGGAATTTTGTCAATGACGGGTATTCTACATCTCTTATGCTCCATTGCTGTGCAGTTCTATCCTCAACACTTTCTCAACCATGCCATGCAGGTTGCGGACATCTTTGTTCTTGCAGTTTAAGCCCCACCAGATCGCCGCCGGTGCCATCTTTCTGGCCGCCAAGTTTCTTAAAGTGAAGTTGCCATCCGATGGTGAGAAGGTTTGGTGGCAAGAATTTGATGTTACACCAAGGCAGCTTGAAGGTTGACCCTTTGTCAAATCGCTTTTGTGGCATGGGAAAATCTTAAAATTTACATGAAATAAATTTCATGTTGATTCCTTGTAGATGTCAGCAATCAAATGCTGGAGCTTTACGAGCAAAATCGCACAGCCCAACCATCTCATGGTAATGAAGCTGAGAGCAGCAGTGGTGCTGGAACTGTTAATCCTCCGGCGGCATCCTTAACCACCGGCAAGAATTCAGCACCAGTAAATGCCAGGGAAGGAGCTCAAATTCTTCAAAATAGGCCCTTAGGGACACAGCAGGTGAATCTGGATGGTCAGCAGACGCAAAATAACAGCACTGAACATGGAAGCGCTTCCGCCTGGGACCATCTTAGAGATGGTGATGGGAAAGAAACCCTAAACTATGAAGCTGGGCCGGTTTCTCAGTTCAGGGAAACAGCCCTTGGTGGGGTAATTGGCGACAAGGCCAATGCTGTGGAAGCCATGACAAAGATTGACAAGGACAAAGTAAAAGCAGCTCTGGAAAAAAGGCGAAAGCTACAACGAAATGTCGTGTCCAAGAAGAATGTTGTTGTCGACGACGATGATCTGATCGAAAGAGAGCTCGAGAATGGAATCGAATTGGCTGCGGAAGATAAGATACGGAAGGAAGAGAGAGATAGCTGGCCGAAACCTCTCCGTCGGCTAGAGCAGCTGCCGCCTTCTCAGGGAAGGTCAAAACAAAAATCTTCAAGTACAGAAGATGGAAAGTTTGATGGCCAGCTTCATGAAGAGAATACCGAGGAAGGCGAGCTTTCCTCCCTCGACGAGCACGACTTCCCTTTTCCTAAGCTGCAGAGCAGCAATGGAAAAGTTTCAGGTGTTAAGAGAAGACCAGACGAGAAGGGATGGTCAGATTTTTCAGAAAGAGACCTCAAAAGAATGAGATGAGAAACTTCTTTTTACTACTCTTATGGGGAGGAGTTCAAATATTTCAGCTATGTATTTGCCTGTGCTAAATAGAGAGCCGAGCTATGGAGCAAATCTCGTAACCAAACTGATCAGTTCAGGAGAGGCTGTTGCTTCACAAGAAATTGAGGTACTTCATTCAGATTTCCTGCTGACTTTTATGCTTTATTAAATCGGGCCTTTTAAGTACAAATTTTTCATATTTTTAACGTTTTTATTGAACATTGTGGATCTCTATTTGTGAAATTTTGCTATTAAATGTAGTGATAATTTTGAAATAGGTAACTGTTGTCATGGACTGGAACTTTTAATATTATGATTGAGCTTTATACTTCAGACACCATATTTACAACTAAACAAAAGAAAAGAATAAAGAGAGAATAATTTTTTTTTTTTAATCTCTCATTTCTCTCTAAAAAATATTTAAAAGAGATTTCAATTCTATGGAGCGGAGTTTTAAATTTCATGATTATTCGATAAGTTTTATATTAGTTGTCGAATATCCAAATAGAATTTTTGTTTGTTTATTACGATGTATTTTAAATATATGGATTTTAAAAATATGATAGGTAGCAACAACAATAGGATGTGGGTGGGTTGGTGAATGGTGGCCGATGATGTTAGGCGATGAGAATCAATAGCGTCGGCAAGTTACGAATGATTGTGGCCAATGGCGGGGGTCGTGATTAGCCGCCAAAGGCCGTGTTTTAAAATTTTTCGATTTGGACAATTTTTACAAAGATGAAATTGAATTAATAAATTTTGTGTGCATAAACAAATTACTTTAGATTTATATTTCTTACAATAAAATAACTAAAATTTTAAAATTTATATACTCTTTTTACTCTATATTGAAAATACCTTAAATCAAGCAATCTCTCTTATCACTCGTAAAAAAAAAAAAAAAAAAAAAGCATATCTCATTTTTGACCTATTGTTAGAATTAGTGCTGGCAAGAAAATGCAAAATTTAGCATTTTTTAGGCCAATATTTTTGTTAGCTGGGAACAGTAATACTTTATGTCCTTTATCTTCATTTATTGTTCAATAAATAATGTAGCGCTTTACATTTTATTTATATTAAATTTGATTCAACAAATAAAAATATAAAGAACTAATTTATTTTTCAAGGCTTAGTGTTAGACAAAATAGCCTTACAAAGTTTCTTCCATTGAGAAATAAGTCTTCGTTTGGAATAATTTTATTATTATTTTTTTAGGCAATTAAGCTGAATGTTTTATAGAAAGTACTTCATTAACTACCAAATTAACAATTTAGGATTTTTTAAAAATAAATTATTTTACGTTTTTTTTTTAATTGACAAATATTAGGCCATTTAGAAAATAAAACTCAACATTTTACTTTTCTTCTTTACAAATACTCTTCGCTCTGCAGCAAATCAAATAATATAGAGGCCCTTCAAAATCCTCTTAAATGAATGATCTTCGAGTTTTTTTTTTTTACAAGATATTATAATTATTTTTAACTATATTATAAAAAAGAAATATAATTTGCTGACCAAATTAGCACCATAAGAACTAAGATTCTATGTAACATATACTGATATACATGCCACATAACATTCATTCATAAAACCTAAAAAAATTCTTTTAAGCTATATTTTGAACACAGTGGCAATACTCCATTTGAAAGGGTATAGATATGTGATTAATGTTTTTTTTTCTATTTATCAAAATCATCTCTCTTACTCTTACATATTGCACTTTAAATATCTTATTAAAAATATTTTTATAATTTTTAGTAAAAAATTGTTGCATTAATGCCCCTATTAACAGAGAAATTATTCTGTGCGGACACCGGACCGTTCGAAGGTGAATCAGAGCGTGTCAAATCACCTAGTACACAACGGGTACACGGCAAAAAGTGATGTGACGAGCTCTGATTCACCTCCGGATGACATTCGATGTCCGCAGTGAATAATTTTTACTATTAACATGACACGAAACATAAGGATTAATATCTGTGATTATCCAAAAATAATAAATTGATAGAAATTAAATAGCTAGAACATGATGAAATGGTAAGAAAATAAGTGAAGATTCACAATGTTGACCATAAAAAGTTAAGAGCAAAGATGACCAAAAGTGAAAGGTTCTATAACTCATTGGTTAAAGAAGATGTCTACATCTCTAAAAGATCACAGGTTCAAATCATATAATTTTAAGATTTATTTGCTCATCATTTTCAGTAAGTGAAAAAAGAAAGAAGAACAAAAATGCCTTCCCACATTCCAAGAAAATTTCATATGACATTATCATAGGCAATTTTGTATGACAAATGCTATGCATCAGCAGATATGGTGCATAGGAATATTCTCATAGACCCATCAAAAGAATGATAGGGGAAGAAAAGTAACAAGAAAATCCTGCTGAGCTTATCATTAAGTGCTCGTTTCAAGCATTTTTGTTGAGATGAAAAGAGATTAGAAGTTAGGAAACCAGACTCAAGACTACTTTTGGCTTACTTGGGCTCTTGAGGAAGTTGCTCCACTTGTTTGTCGCCTATTGATTTTCCATCCCCATTTGTCAGAATTTGCTTAAAAGATGAGTTCTCTTCGCCATTTGCTGCGTGGGATTCATCAGAATTCAGTTCAGAGATATCAAGAGAACTTGAAGAAGGTTCGGCCATGGCCGATCTCTCTGCAGCAACAGAAGTTTTGCTGTTTCCTTGAGACCAATACAGAGGCATCTTCTTATCATCATCTCTCATCCTCTTTGCATATTCTTTGATTTCAAATCCTGCTTCATTCTTTCCACCAAATGCTTTTTCGAGTTCATCCATGTTGAAGAGCTCCTCCATTAATTTCAGGGAGGCTTGATTGTCGGAGTATACAAACTTAACTTTTCTGGAAGTTTTGGGTTCTAGAAAAGGTTTAACCACCTGCAAGAAATTTCATTATTTAGCTTTGATGTCTTCTCAGCTAGATCTTCAAAGGTTTATTGGTTCCAGGTTACAACAAGGTCATCCAATGCAGTCTAATAGTAATTTAACAGCTTGATAGTGGCAGTCACATTCTAGACGTATATTACATTTTAATTTAAGAATAAATGGTAGTTTACAAACATGCTGATTTTTTCAAAGCCAAGTTCAGTACTTGAGAAAACATTGGATATTTTATGCTTGTGAAAAACTATGTAGAATTCTCAAAACCATGCGAAGCTATCAAAGAACACCGTAAGTTAACCAATAAAATAGATAAGCAAATGTTTATATGTATTGTAACAACCCTATGTTATCAAATATTAAGATATTGATTTGATCTTATAAGCGTTATGATTATGTCTTCTTAGTGCAACTTATTAGGGGATTGCCTATACCGGCAATGCTGTAGCATAAACTTTTAACTTCAAAGTTTTTGATGAAGCTCTAATCACTACATAAAAAAGTCTTGATGTTTAAGAGTTTGGCTTCACTATACTTGAGGAGTGTTTTTTTGTCAGCATCTGAGATAACGTCACACGCAAATTGAGGCAAATGAGGCTTTTGTCATTTTATCACTTATGAAATCATGAAATTGATAATAATAATAATAACAATAATTTATTATTGTCGATTTTCATACAACAAAACCAACATCAAGCCTTTGTCTCACTATGTGGGGTCGGCTACATAAATCCTTTTCTGCTGTGTCATGTTAAAAGTCAAATTCTCATTAAAAAAAACAATGTGTTTGTACCTACCGTTCGACGCTGATGCCAACGCCACTCATCCCTTCGCATGCTCTCCTGCTCGGATCGTAAAATCAAACTCGGTCATCATCATCAAAACCATAACGAAGCGAAACTTTGTGTTTTTCTCCCGGCACCAAATGAAACCTCCACTGGAACCGAATCCCACTAGCTGCAGCTCTCCAGCTCCCGATCGGACCCAGCTGCAAGATAAATCTGCCCTAAATTTCCATTTGACTCCACTGCTCTCTCTGATCTCCAACTACAACCCCGACTTCCTCTTCTCCAAACAATCGCAGCTCAAGCCGGCCGACCTCAGTCCCGACCCCCGACCATCGAGCAAATCCCAATTTCGCGTGAACTACAAGTCAACCATCTCCACACCTCCAGCCATTCCGAACGTCCGACCTCCAATCAACTGAACTACCTAAGCCCATCAACTCCCCAACGCAGCTGCTTCCCACCAGTTCATCCCCTATTTGCAAGATCCCGTCGACAAGAGTCCGAACCCGCTTCCTCAAGTCGTAGACACTTCCAAAGCCCCCGATTTCCACAGCTCTGATCTCACTCTCTACCTGAAGTTTTGACCAGCTTTTCCAGCCAACGGCCGCCCTACCCGTTCCAGGAACCACTCCGTCTTTATCCGGCTCCTATAGCCGGACAATACCCATTTTCCCTTTCTGATCGAACGCAAGTCGAGAGCTGCCTTCTCACCTGAACTTTCTTACCTTATAACCTCTTTACTCTATTTCTTAACAGCCAACAACAACTCCAAACTTACAACAACCCATTAAATCTCTAATTTACCAACTCAGCCCCATATTTCCAAGCAGCATTGGCAACCCATACAATCCTCAGAGCCCCTCTTCCACTTCACAAGCAATCGACAGATGTTTTATTTTATCACTATTATTATTAATAACTATTAGCTAATATTATTAATTGCTATTTTTATCATTATAAAAAAAGGGGAGGAGAAAAGGAAGAAGAAAAATTCCAAAAGAAGAAGAAGAGAGAAAAGGAGATTCAAAAAAAGAAGAAGAAGAGATTTCTGTGTTTTTACCACTGCTGACATCGACACCGTTGTCGACTTCTCAACAAGGTATAAATGTCTCAAACTCATAAAGCCTTCAAACCCCGCTTTCGACTCTCACAGTGCGTTGGAGACTTTCTATACACGCTTTTCGTAGCGTGGTGAGAGGAAATCTGGTGCAACACTTGCAGCGAGGCGAGTAGGCCCCATACAAGCTCTTCGTAGCGTGCAAGGGACAACTTTAAGTATCCGTATATGTGTATCAGTGCATGCGAGAAAAAAATTGTGTTTTCAAGCAAGTGCCTTGAAGCCCATGCATGCTCTTCATAGCGTGGTGAGATTAAAGAAAGCACGATCGCAGAGTCGCCCGACACCTACCATATATGCTCTTCATAGCGTGGTAGGAAGGCACAGACTCCCGAATTTCCCCTAAACAGAGGACACACCGAGAGATTGCCAAAATTTCAAATGGATGGAGGACTTGATTTGAACAAAACCATCGGGAACTTGTATAGATAGTAGGGAACAGAACATGAACCACTAAACAAGAGACTTGACTTGGACCACAGAGAACAAGACCTAATATTTAAAAATGAAAATTGAGAAATGCACAATCTTAATAAAAATTCAAAGGCTAATAATCCTTGTCATCCAAATGAACAAGCAAGGCGAGCAATGAATAAAGCATGTGTATATTACCCAAAAATGATGAAATTAAAGTAAAATATCATGTTCCATCAGTCAATTTACAAGCAGGGATCAAGAACATGCAACAAACACGAATTCTCATGAGAATATGCAGAAGACATGTACTGGATAGGATAATGGGCTTACAAGCATAAGTGTGAGCTTATGACACATGCAACAACTCATTTACAAGTCATTGCAAGGAAACTTGCAAGTGTTTACAGGCGATAGAGCAAGGCATGCAAATGAATACAATAACTTGCCAACCAAGGTGTATAGGGAAACCAATGATGAACATGGCTCAATTGGTTGCCCATACCAACATGCAACCAAGCACATCAAACTCTGCAAGTATTACAAAACAATATGTAGTGAACTACCTAAATCTGCAAGTATTAAAAAAATCCATTTGTACATGTCCGGCACCGCTCCGTAAGGTTCTGAAATCGTGCCCAAATTCTGCAAAGTTCGCGACTGGGACGTACGACCATGAAGTTCGCACGTTCGCGTAACCTCTTCGCACGACCCCGCATGACCTGCTCATCTTTAAAAGCCGAAGAGACGAAGGCCATTCGCTCTTTCTCCTTTCCCACTCGCAAAGCCTCCATCAAAGCCACCCGACTCGCATTCTTCTTCCTTCCCGAACTCGGTCGCGATCTTCCTCTCCTTTACAACTCACGAGAATGACTTCTAATTCGGTTGATTAAAGATATTTTTAAATATTATTAATGTGTTGAAATTAAACCTTATTTAAATAAATTTGTACTACAATATTCTTAAGAAATATTAATATTAATAAATAATAAATAAAAATTTTATATTCAAATTAATTAATACAATTATGATATTTATATAATTAAGTATGACAAATTAAATAAATATGTGGTTGATAATTAATTCTAAAATAGTATTATTATTATTAAATCATAATATTTTATTTTTAAATAAGTATGTTGACTGTAACCGCATTCCATTGACTCCCCCACCGACAAACTCACGAAAAAACCATCCCCGGTCCCACCTCACATGGATGATCGCCAAAACGAAGCAACTTTTCGTTAAAAAAAAATGGGAAACCGCCTCTCACGACATAAAAGCGACTCTCCCTCTCTCACGCACACTCACGCATATAGAAACTCTGGGAACTGCAAGGGATCACAAGCAAAGAATTGAGCGACTTACCTCTCTCTTGTTTGTGCTTCCTTCTCTTGCTCCGGCCGACTCCACCCTTCGATCGACGCTTGCTCTTCATTGTCCGAACTCGATGTGCCCTAGATCCGGTCGAATCCACGTCGCCGAGCCCAAAGCCGACCCGCCGGCCGACCTGCTTCCGACTTCGCCGACCCGAACCTTGACTTCGTCGCTCCCTCTTCGACCAAGGATCTCCGGCGTGCACCCGTGCGTGATCCCTCCGAGCCGGGAGGCTGCCGAAATTTTCAGTAAACAACAAAGGACTTGGACAGAAATTTGGAAATTGATTTGAACAAAATTCAAATATAAAATCAATTTTAAAATTAAATTTGAACTGAAATATATACAGAAAATATCAAGCAAACACAAGTAAACATATATTGTGTTTGCAAAGATGCCCTCAAATCAACATCGTTAATTCCTACAAGTCAATGCTCCACATCAAAATTTTCTTTTTTTAAGTAATTTTGTTGTGATAAAATGAATATCTTGGCTCTCACTAAGCATTTTTATGATAATTATGATAGCACATCCAAAATCATTTTTGGAAAATTTTAAATGATATATGAGATCTCAATCGTTAAGTTGGTAAGGCCATTTATGTGAATAATATTCTCATAAATATGTTTTGGGACTTATGCTTTGATATAAAAACAAAGATTATGATTGTAGTTGCATAAGTGTTGACGGTGCTACAAATTTAAAATCAAAGGAATCACAACATCTGTTGGAGGTTCATTGTAGATGTTTATATTAACTACAATGAATAGAAGTTGAAAATAACAATTTGATTAGGATCTCAAAATTGTTCATTCATGAAAACTATCCATAAGATCTACATGATATTCTGCAATCAATAGTCTTGAAGAGATCTATTCAAAGAGTGATGATGACACCAGGAGATGTCTCATTTTGACTCAAATGCACTAGACCATTTATGTGCTACTAACATTTTGACAAAAGCCTTAATCGTCTTCTTTCTAGCACTATCCCACGATGGTTACCCATTGTCCTTTCATAAAGAGGTATATTGTGAATACGTGACAAAGGAAAAGAATCGTGCTGATCTAGAAATTTTAGAATAACGCCACCGGATCCGCAACATGTGTGCAAGCGGACAGAAGACGTTCGTAGGCCCTTAAATGAAATCTTGGGCTATTTTTTAAGCAAAATCACTTGCGCAAATGGATCATATTTAAATATTTTAAAATGCCCCTTATGTATTAAATGTGATCCATTAAACTAAATCCACCCTGCATGTGCTCCGAGAAGTGCAATAAATTTCAAAATGCCAATATCTGAGAATGATGTGCAGGGTCAAATGCTCGCTAATAGAACATTCTATTTACAAAACTAAATATACCCTACATGTGCTCCGGTCATCATGTTAAAAGTATAAATACTAATGACCGAGAATGCTGCGTAGGGTCAGATACTATAACCCGCATGTGCTCCAATCACCACATCTAAATCCTAAAATCCAACGATTCGAGAATGCTGCGCGGGTTTATATTCAAGTTTCATCCTCCTCCACGAAAGGACTGGACTCGACATGACTTGAAGTATAAAATGCCTCCCAAAATCCTACGAAAATATGTGACTTTGAAGTCACCCCGATGATGGTATTGTTGATCGAAAATTTCAACTAGAGGGGTCAAAATCTCAAATCTCAAATACAATCAAATTCTTAAAATAAAATCAATCACCTAAAAAAAAACTCAAAACTAAAAATCATCCATCTCCCGCAACCGTTTGTCAGGGGTGATAAATTTGAAATTAACCTCAGCTCACAAAGAGCGAATGCATGTGGGGTGTATCACTTTGATTCATCCTCAAATAGTCTCTTGCCAACAGGGACGTGGCACGTGCCCTCTGATCGGGTGGTTTTGCCGCAAAATGGCACCATTATATTACGATCACGGCCAAAGCCCGTATGTTCCCTAAAGGCGTCAAACCCTTGAGCGATGGATCATAGGGTATATCCAATAGGCATAAAGCCCTCTGTTAGCTAAGGTGGATTCAGATATATCCCCTTAGACAAACACCAACCCAGGTCTACAAGGTATCCTTGGACGAAGCAACCCATGGACAAGGTGCCTTCGTCAGAATTGGTGTCGACTACCTCCTCTGACTAAGTAGATCAGAGGTATCATGCGACCCGGGTGACTGGAACCATGGGATCTTGATCGGGCTCGTCTATTCCCCCCACCACCAGTTTTAAGTTTATGGTGATAAACTATAAATTCCAAATTTCCAATTTTTAAATTCAAAATTTAAACCCTAAATTATTGCTATTATACGATAGGTTCATAACCTATGTGAACGCTTGAACGACTAGCCTTAATCGAAAGTTCTCTCTTGTTATCAGGAGGGGTAATTAACTATAGGGTCTTACGCCTATAGGAAACCAGAACTCAGATCAAAAAGTCCTCACCAAATGAGGGTGAAATCGCTGGGTAATGTCTTATCGAAAACCCAATCTGCCTTCTGAAAATTCCCCCGGAACCTAATCTCGTTAAAACTTTCTACCGTCATCGTCAAACATTTTAAAAGAAAAATTGACGGATGGCGTGGAGAGGCCGGGATCATACATACAAAATGAAATTTTCGGAGCCCACAAAGTAATTATACATGTTATTTTAATCAATTTTAAATTAAATAATATACAAGTTATTATTGAGTTTAAAATCAAACCTTTAATAAGTTACTTGTTGAACAACAAACAAGATTTTCACAAACATAAATAAACAAGCTAGACTATGTTTAAGTTTTGGTTCATTTTAAACATTTAAATTGTTTAATTACTAACTTTAACGAAAATTGAATGAGTATTAATTGAGTCAAATTTGAGTTGTTCATCACGTGCATTAGTTTACCAGCACTAAGAAAAGATTATGGTTCAAAGATTTACTTGGATGGATTGGGTTACAATAGACCTAATTAACCTCTTAGAGAGAAAAGGCGAGTCAAACCAAGCTAAGGAAGATAAGAGAGGAAGCAATAAGTCTATAGTGAAACTGGTTAGACAATGTGGCCAAAAGTATAAGAAATGTCATAGATTCATATATGGTCATACATAAACTCTAAATCACTATTTAAGATATGTCATAGATAGTTTTGAACATTCTTTTTTGTCTGTATTGTTCGCTAGGTATTTTTGGAAAAACATAGCTGCAATGGTTTAGATGGACCAGGTGAACCGGTCCCGCCTGGACCCGTGCGGGTCTACAGGCGGAAGAGATGGGGGGCGGGGGACTGGCTGGACCAAAGGGACCCACCCACTTAAGTGGGGGTAATTTGGGGAGGGGAGGAATTTTTGGGGAGGGTATGAAGGGAGCCATTAGGATTTAGTTCTAGCATTATGAAAAGTAAAGTCTCTTTCTAGTTTTTTTTCTTCTTCTAGTCTTCTTCTTGTTCTTTTCTAGGGTTTTCTTTTGGGAGATCTTGTCCTTCTCGAAGTGGACAAACTTATCTTGTTTTCTCTTGGCTTTCTAATGCAAAGGTTTTTGCTTTTCATCTCAACCCTCTTGTGATTGTTTCTCTTTGATTTTGGAGGAGAAATTCCTCTTTTTTGGGGGAAATTAGGGCAAAACCGAAATTGTGGAACCCTAGGACGTATCAGGTTTTTAGGGCAAACAAACCTCATGCTATGTTACTTCTAATGTTTAATCTTTGATGATATTTCTAATTAAATTAAAGCATTTAGTACTAAAATGGGTATCTTACCATCCAGAATGGTTCAAAGAACTTTGGCGGATTGTACAAAATAGCTAAACCCAGTCTTTCAGGATAATGATTTTGAAGGACATCAGCAGTCTCCTTTGTTACCTTAACTGATAAGTGAGACATATTGTACCCACAAAAATCAATCAGCCAGACCATTTGCTCCTGGTCAGATGGCAAATTTAAGATAGCATTCTCCATGCAGTATACCAAATACCTGATCTTCCCCTTGGTTGATTTAGAATTCTGTAAATGTCATTAAATTTTTGTAGTAAGAACAATTGAGAAGGAAAGAGAGCAATGATATATGGCCATAATCCAATTTAAAAAAACAAACAAACCTCGCAACCAGGTCTCATAACAAGAACGCTTCTCCCATACTTGTCAAAGCAATTAGATCGGTAAATTTTTCCAGTCTCAGCTTCTTGAGCTATCTCATCCTGCAAGTCAAAAAAGTTATAAAAAGGAACAACGGGAGTGAAGAATAAGTTGAAGGAAAGCACAAGTATGCTAAAGCTAGAATACTTTAAAAATATAAGAGAACGGCGGTAAACACAGCAAAGTCTTCTTCCAATATATGCAGCTAAAAGAATTTGAATATAAAGCCTGATATTTGTCTGCATAGAACAAATAGTTAAAGAAAACAGCAAATTTTTTTCTCGTCCAATTATTTAGAAATGTCATTTATAAAGCCATACTAAGAATAAATGGCGCCCTTTTGTCTCCCACGACAGACAACTTACAACAACCTTAGACACTACCCAGTATCATGATTTTGCAATAATACCATAAACAAAACAAGAATTAGTGGCTTAAAAATGACGCTGATATATAATAGTATGCAGATAAATAGGCAATCAAACACTTCATGTTATTTGCCTAGAAATTACCGATTTTATTCATCAAAAGGTTGAAAACAATTGTTGGTACTATCGTGAAAAAAAAGGTCATAAGATTCAAATGTACAATAAAAAATATCATCCACTCGGGCAATAGGTTAAGTAAATCATATACTTACTTAAATGATTACATTTTAAGTCATTTGTGGAAAATTATATACAAATATTCAAATCCATTTTAAGGGGAAACACTCCATTAAAATGAAAAAAAAAAATCAGAATAGAAGCATGAAAATTATACTTTATAAATTTCATAGCAATATCAGCAAAACATTTTTTTTATTAAATTGAAGAAATAAACTTTTCTTTCTTGATAAAAAGTTTGAATTTCAAGCCCAAGAAAACCAACACTAACCTCAAATCCTTGAATAGAATATAATGGCTAACTCAAATCATCTCCAATAGCAATCTAAAAGACATTCAATGACTAAATTCAGATCTCCAACAACAATAATCTTAAAGACCAAAGCTTTCGTCTATCCATCCATAACCCTAGAAGTATAATGGTTAAGATCAAATCTTGAAATAAGGTGCCTTAATCCTCATCTATGGGAACTTTTGTACAGCACAAATATCGAGAACAAAACATTTCTCAACCTAACATTTGCCTTGCTAAAAGCACCAAACTACCCTCTGCTCAAGCAAATATACATACTATATATGGAAAAGGTTAGATGTGTCAAAATGGGTTGTTGGGTTGAGTTCAGGTTCAACCCAAATTTGACCTTGTTTGGACCCATCCAACCTAAACCCAACCCAAAAATCTAAACGGGTCAAAATCATGGACCCATACCAGACCTACGAACTCATTTATATAAAAAAATTAGTTTTAAGCCCTGAATATAATACAAGCAAGAAATAACCAAAAAATAAACAAATCTATAAAGCCAACTCCGCCTTGAGCGACCTATGAGCCTAAATAGATCAACTTAAGAGAATGATTGAATGAGTAACTAGAAGGATTTCCTTGAATCCCTTCCCAATTCCAAGTCCCAAAACTATGAAAAAGAAAAAACCCTAAACTATAAAATAGACAGAGAGCAAGAGAGAAACAGCAGTCTCATGGGATAGTGGGAGGCGGTTTGGAGGTTGCAAAGGTACAATCTAGTCCTCTGAAGGTTGTGACGATGAGATGGCAAAGTTGGCAATTCAAAGGGAGCAGCTCAAGGCGAAGGCAACTACTGAGTGAAGGATGAAAGGAAGGAGGAATATACGAAGTAAGAATAACTGAATGAGCATGATGACCATTAATTTTGTCCTAACTCTAATATAAATCGAATCGGGTTGCTTTCAGGTCATTCTTTTTTTTAATCACAAATCTTCCCCAATTTACAATAACAAAATCAGAAGAGATGATCAAAGAAAAATCTTTCACAAGCGTCCATGCGCATTGGATTTCGCAAGCCCTGAGTAGCCAGCTATAGTACTTGAATCAAAAGAAAGATAGAATTCCACTAGTTACGGGTATCCGGCTACAGTACCCGAATATCTAGTGTAGCACAACTCCACAAGCTACAAAAAGCCAGCTAACGTACCCGGATCTCAAGGGAGACAATTCCACAAGCCAAGGGTGAGAACGGAGAGGCGTTAAACCAACAGGAGTAGAGGCACTAGACCAATGAACAGAGTTGAAGTAAAACTGCAACTCGAATAAAAAACCAAATCAAAGCAGGAGAGGAATTCAGAAAATCAAAGAACATAAACTTCCCAGGAACATCATAGACATGATTCAAAAGAAAACTGAAACTAATCCAGAAACTACTAAAATAATATCAACTAAAGAAAGCCAATGCTCATAATGTCAATTTGCTAGTCTGAACGCACACATCTTATGTTTCCGACAAATATAAACTTCAAAGTTTGCATCCACATTCTTCATTGAAAAAAATGACTAATTCACCAAAGATGGGAAGAAGTGCATTGCATTACCCACTCAAGACCTTTTTTTTTCAAACAAAGAAAAACATCAGAACGCAATCATTCATGAATGACAAGGGATATCACAGATGAAGTTAACTTGTAAAAAGGTCAACTAGACCGGCTGCATCATGCCATTCAAGTATTTAAAATGTTTCTAATATACTCAGCAACTTTAATTTTAATTAATAAAATGGGTATTATAGGGAAAGCCAAGATATATTATCCATTTTCTGGCTGTTTTTAAGGACAAATCATCAAAAACATGATTAAATTTGATCATTTCCTAGTGTTTATATCATTATCACTTGATCATAGATTTGCATGTGTTGAAACAAAAAATCAATTGAGTCGGAAACTGACTTTTTCCCAGTCAGCAAAGGTTACATTGATAGACAATATACATCATATCCATAACCTCAAATACCGTATCAAGATCCTTGTAACGAACCTTGCTTCTCAGAAGACATTCTTGAGAAATTATGCTTTCATAGTTAGGTACACTTGGTACCTACAAAGAATCCTTTAATTTATTTATTTTATTTAATCATTGCATAACTGATGCCTCCGAAATGACACAGATAAACAATAATGATTATGCTGGCTAGCATTTTTATTGTTCCCGCTGTATGTAAGAATCGGTTTGAAAAGGAGATGTATTTCTTTATTCATTTTAGTTTACGTAAGAAAAATTTTCATCCCATTGTGAACTACTAGTTCATTGCTATCATGGAACAAGCTTCTTTGTTTACCAGTAAAATATATTCTTAAATAGTATAAGCATTACTTGGGGAAAATTTAATAAGGAATTCAATATTAAATGTAATACAATTTAGTGATACCTTTGTTTCCAGCCTTTCTGTCTTATATAGACCAGTCTTACTGTGATGCTCATAAAGCATTTGACCAGTATCCATATCTATGCTTCTTAGAAAAGAGAATGAATTTAAATGAGACATTAGGCAGAGGAAGGGGTAAGTAATCAGAACTTGAAAAGCACCTTAAAACATACATAAAATCCAAACTTCTCATTCTTTTTGCAAATACTTAAATATGGCGTTAGCCTAGCTCTGTAAACAAGAGAAGCATTTGTATATCTGGGCAATGAACACTGGTCATAGGGCCCAGCCCTTTGTCGATTTGTACATATTTAAAATAAATATAAGCTCAATTGGTTAGATGCATTTTAGAATATCAAGCATAAATAAAAATCTGTAAATTTGTTCTTCCTAGCATAAACCAAGTCATTGAGCCAGGATTATGCAAGTTATTTACCAGATTTCATAAAGAAAAGTTCACATACCCAGCGTATATCTTCAGGTTTGTATTCAAGGCGCCATTTCAATGTTTCCTTCAACATTTTAACTGCTTTCTTCACATTCCAGTTTCTTGCCCTTAAATATCTTGCAATAGAAGCGTCAGAACAGTAAAGCAACAATTTGTCTGGCACTGGTTCCAACAGCTTTCTCACTTCACTGATCTTTAATGATTATGAAAGAAAATTAGAGAGTAAGAGAAAGGAAAACATTAGCATTGAAAGAATGCCAAGAAAAGTTTTTTAAAACAATAGACAGCTGAAAAATATAATAAGAACAAATGGTTCAAAAATACAACCCAACTCCTAGTTCAGTGGTAAGATAATGAAAGAAAGAGGTTAGTAAACTTGACAGCAATGCCTTAAGATGAATGTTTAATATAGGAAATCCGGACTTGATCAACATACCTTAGCTCTCTTCTCCTCAAACAGTGCCTTCTCTAGAGAACCATTAGCCTCTGAGTTCTTTAAACTCATATTCACAGATTTCTGCAGATGTAGAATTAGAAGTTCTGCAGACAGCAATATCTTCTGCATGGAATACCATAAAGTTAGAACTTCTTGATCTTCTTATAAACTTTCACTAGTTGGTACGAAAATAAGTAAGCTAATCTTTGTGTAAGAAATCTAAGCGGCTCATTTGGTCGCCTCAAACCATGTTTTATAAAACAATGAATTTAATATACTCCATCATCTGGCCAGATGTAATAAGAAATCCACATGAGTTTTAAACTCAGCAAACAACTCAAAAGGACTTCATTTTCACACACAAAATGGATGAAGAAAAATATTGCTTTCTAAAATATGTTTTCAAACTATAAGCAATCAAATGGGCTCTAAGAAAGTATATTTGAGGACATACATTCACAATGAGATCCCTATGACATAGAGCCTTGGCTAGGAAGCCTACTTTAATAACACTTATAATAAGCAAATGACACTAAAATCATAATATCGAGCTAATTATGATTGTTGTCTATAATCTGGAAGTTTTAAAAATTAGAATTCCAATAAATTTGTTGAAGATTTATGTATTGGCTTAAAATAACTTAAATTTTATTTCAAATCAGTGAGGACTTAGATGTCAAATGATAAAAAAACTGGGTTGAAGATGCAGATTTTTAGAGATGAAAGTTCATTTATGTGTATTATTCACTAGAGGACCCATCTATATATAATAGAAGAATGACTATAATGTTCTAAAATATAATAAAACAAACATACATGACTTATTAAACATGGAATTCTTTCCAAATATGATATTTTCCTATGCTAACACTCCCTCTCAAGCCAGAACATATATATCAATTAACTCTATCTTGCTACATAATCAAAAGGAAGGTAGAGAACCCAAACTTTTGTAATAATATTAGCAACATATTCTGCCAATTTCTTGAAAAGTATATCATGTCCATTTTGGATAGCAAATGCATGTTTGTTATATCACAAGCAACTTTGTATAATTCAATAACACTTGGAGATTTTGATGTGCGTCACCAGATGACCTTTGAACATTGTTAGGTGCTCCTAGTCCTCTCACCGCCCATCACCCATCTTCTATAGCCAACAGTGTGGAGGAAGAATCTTATAAAGTATATAAGAGGAATATATGTTTTTTAAGACTAAACACTAAACCAAAAATGTTAAAAACTACTCTTGGCTCTCCCCCTAGTGCTTCTTATCAAGAAGTGGTTTCCCCCACCCTCAAAGCCTCATAATGAACAACCACTTTTGCACCACACAATGGGCATATAATACAAAGCCAAACCACTTAAACTGGTCATGTTCATATGCTCTAGTCTTCCTTATCTCTTCTATTCCACTTTCTCCTCTCTATCCTCCCAAACACCTATAAATGCAATATCTCGGTCTAATGACTACATTTCTTCTCATTTAATGCCATCCCATCCACATGTCGAGATGTCACCCACTGACATGATGATAAGATTTAACTATTTATTAATATTAAAAGATATAAAAATGAGAAGAGACTCATGGAATGGAAGGCATGGAGTTTCAACAACCTAATTACTAAAAAAAATTTCAAGGTTTATTCTACTTTGATTCGATTTGGCAAGTGTGGGCCCCCATTCTTGAAATTGATTATGATATTCATCGTCATTCTTTGAGGATCATTTTGAAGCCAACAACATATTCGAAAAGGAGCATAAACTCTATGGTACTTCGCAAAAGTTTTAGGATTGCTAGCAAATAGTAGCGGGCTTGTTGACAATAATTGAGATTGCCAACAAGCACCTCATCATTGGCTGCTCCTCCAAGAGAAAGAGTGTATGTCCATACTATCTATAGCAGTGATGTCACACAACACTACAAGGCATTGCATGGTGTAGGGTGCCCGCACATAGAGGAAGAACCTAGGCTCGAAGGATCTAATCCTATGGCCAGCTCAAGCTGACCAACGCCCATTCAAGCTCTAGTTTAATTAGCTTGAGCATGCATGGACACCATTTAACTTGTCTAAACCAACTCCAAGGTCAACTAAGCCAATACGAGACACTCAAACTTAATTTCAACCTTTTATAAAAGCTTAATATTAGCATTTTCCTTAGAAATTATGCTTAATTAAATTGGGCTTTTATGAATCCACCAAAAAGTAAAAGGATTTTATTTGCTTTTGCAGTATGGATGTATAGCTGTTACAAAAATCAATCAAAATTTGAAGAATTGCAACAGCATGTTCACATTACAACTTGCATATTTCTATTTTTATATTAGCCCTAGGAAGTAAAGATAATAGATGCATTGTAAGAAGATGCTCCACATAAATCAATAAAAATCCTTGTTAAACATTAGTGCATGAAATGCTATAATAATAGTTGTTGGATCCAAAAGTGTTCATGAAAATATGCCAACACTTTACTAGAAAATGAATCAGGCTCAAAGAGTAAAGAGAGGAGAGATTTGGTCTCAATGAACCTCTCTGAGAATTGCTTTGCAAAGAACTCAATCAAACCACTTTGAATAAAAGACAGCAGGTCAACATGGGCTACAAAGGAACAAAATTATAAAAAATTGGAAAGTTATAGTGAAATTTTATATTAGATTCTCTCACATATGCCATTATTCTACTGGTAACCTCCTATTAATAGGTAAAGACTAAGGTCAACATTACAAATTTGTCTACATAGTACAATGCTATACATAATTTGAAGTTGGAGTAGCTAGTCATATAGTCTACAAGTAGTCATTACTAGTCAAGGGAATTTCAAGTAAACATTGGCGAGTTCTTCCGACAAAAAATAACAGTGGTTGGTGAGTAATTAGATCAGCCGATGAATTTCTTTTAGCAAATAGCCTCATTTAACTATTGATTTCATGAATCCAATAGGATGAGTTCAACATCTTAGTACTAAAGACATAGTCAAAGCTAATTCTTAGGTGAATTAATTAAATTTCAGGTCTAAGAGAATTGAGGCTACAGGCGACTTCAAACCTGGCAAGTTCCAAGTTGTAAGCAATTCAAGCTGCTTCTCAATCAGCAAATTCTCATAATGACTTGATTTGCTCGACCCAGGAGAACATGCATGAATAATGGTTAATATCGTGTAAAATCAACCATCAAATCAAGGAGCCTAGCAGCAATAACAGCAGACAAACGCCGCCTACAGAATCGAACTCTGTAAACTACAAAAGGCCAATTTGCACACTCTCCCTAATCGCTAATATCTCCTACTGTCCCGGATAAAAATTCCAATGTATCCTCAATCGAACGAACCCCAAGCCAACCAAAAAAACTGTAAAGAACAAAAAAAATGCAGAGAAATCGCAGAGAAAACAATGGTTTTTCCGTCAACCCGAACGCAGACTTACCTCCAACGGATCGTACTGTGGAACTCAACCGGAACCCTCGGATCGATTACTGCACAATCCGCCGGCGAAGAACCGGAATCACTTTCGGACCTAGATAGAAAGCGGAGGGGTAGCTGTAGCTGGTCAATGGGAATGGGCGAAGTCGATTGAAGTGGAAGAGGGGGCTTTCATCGAACGGCTGATATAGCTTGGCGATGTGGGCCCCACTTGTTAGAAAGGCAACCGACTGGCCTAACGAAGAAAACAGTGAAGACTGATTTTGCGTACTTGGCTGTAAGGGAGGAGTCGCGGAGAGTGGAAACCTTGCTGTTGCAATTATGGCCTGGTGGGCTTGAGGATAATGAGAGTATTAAAATAGTATTTAAATTTATCTATTTATCTTTTGAGATTTCTACTCATCTTGATCACTTATGTCTTACTATTTTTATAAATATATTTCTGAATTGATTAAGTTTAAATTCTACTATTTACATTTATTTCGAATTAATTTTTTTCCTGATGATGTATTTTTAATGATCAGTTTTTATAGTTTCAAATCAAAAATAAATTTTGCCCTAAAAATTTCAATCGTGCACGTGCTTGCCCATCCCGTCATCCATTCGCGAATCGCGTCTTCCCAATCACCCTGAAGAGGTTGTCGCCTTAATCTTTGAAGCCTTCGTTAATCATCTTCGCAATCTTCTTCTTCACAAACTGCAGATGCAGACTTTGGCTAATCAACTCTTCGCAGTTGTAGACTCGCACCCTTCGAACCTTCAACATTCTTGCTGGTTTGAAGAGATCGCTATTCTCATAGGACGCAACCTTCATCTTTGCCATCTTCACAGAATCACAATCGCACTGTTGCAGACGGCGTTCTCGCTCGTTGAAGATAACTTTTATCCAATTGAATCATTTTTTTCTGATGATATATTTTTAATGATATGTTTTATAGTTTCACTATTGCATAACATTATTTTTCTAATCAAACTTTTTGTTTTTCTTAATTTCATTCATTTCTAATTACACAAATTTTATTTATGCTTTTTTTTTTCATACTTGTACTTCAACAAAAGAAGATTTGAACACATTATTTTTTGTAGAGCTAATGTTTTAATCTAGAAATTTTAAATATTGAATTTTCCCACCTTAAAAAAATGGTTAGATCCGCCCCAATCCATAACCCCTCTTTTTTTTTTTTTTTTTTTTTTTTTTTTTTTTTTAAATATTCAATGCTTATACCATTCTCCACTCTTGTGCAAATCTCTAAGAGTAGATTGGCATCCCCTACCTTATTTTTTAGTCAACTCTTCTTCTCCCAACTCACCATCACTTATTACTCAACCCTCGATGACAAAAAAACTAAACCACTTCAGTTGAAACGGCCTCGAGCCTCACATCACTCATGTGGTCTATCTTATTATATCCAATTATCATTGCATCCCCTTTCTTGTCTTATCGTTCGGATACCAATCAGAATGAGCCACATCAACAGCATCGAGCCCGAGACACGATACTGAGCAAGAGTGATGTGACGCATTTTGATTAATCTCTAAACAGTATTCCTCATCTGCACAAAATAATTTGCCCCACAAATGAGCATCAAAGCGATTGGGAACCAAACCCATCTGTCTGAAATAACAAAAGCAGCAGATCATTATTATCAAATGATTGTCCTAAGCCAAAGGGTCATAAGACAAGACAGTCTCTAGGCCATACCTTCACTGCATAATGAATCTAAAACAGCCGGATGCAATTATTCTTCAATAACACCTACCTTTATTACCAATACGAGTATGGCAAGCCAACTCATGGCAATTTTCTTGCATTGCTCCTGCTAGAGAACACAAAAACTCATTGAGGTTAGGTTCAAGGCAATTACTCTGCTTATATGTCCCCAACATTCAAGAGACGCCCAGCATGTTCTGAAAGATGTGGCCAATCAGAAATTATTTTGTGCGGAATTTGAATGTAAAAGATCTTCCAAATTACTGTGTATCCTATGCTCTATGTATTTTCTATTTATATACCGCGTATTTATAAATACGCGATAAATAAGCAACAAATAATTAATTATGAGTTGTTGTTTTTTGTTGCGTATTTATAAATATGCAGAGTGTAAACAGAATGTACGCAGTGCATCTAGTAATCCAAAAGATCATCAACATACAGACTCTGAATAGAATAATTTCCCATGGCCAACAGTAACTGCCCATGCCGCCAGCAATGGACTGCAGGACCATTCTCATTAAGTAATTATAAAGTCAGCTTCTAATCCTAACGATAGTTTTGCTTGGGTTCTCTACCCACAACTGTTGGACATTTCTACATTTCTACGCCTAGCCTAGCACCTGGCACTAGCAGGAGCCACTTTCTGAAAAATTATTCTGTGCGGAGATCAGACGCAGAACATTATTCGGAGACCAATCAGAATGTACTACGTCAACGGTACTGAGCCGCGGTACCGAGCACATGGATTATGTGGCACATTCTAATTGATATCTGGATGATATTTGGTATCCACGCATAATAATTAATCCACTTTCTTAGGCGATAGACGGGTGACTAAGCTAGTTTTGCGAGAATATCTACAGCAGTGTTAGCACAACTGCTTCTACGTATTCCCTCATTATTTTTAAATTCATATAATCATGAAATCTCGTAGAAATTTAAAAAAAAAAACTGATGTAAACTAACATAATTTAACCACATTTCTCACATGAGGAAACAAAACAAACCAAAATCAATCGAAATATGCCACACGAGCTCAGGAAAGTAAAGATAAAAAGAAATCGTCTTACAACAACAAACCACAAAGTTCTTCAACAATGCAAAATAAATATACGCATAAAATAAGATAATGAACTGAGCAGTGCCACCTTCTGTCAAGCACCCAGTTCTGCATCCAAACACCCCACACCACCACTAATATGCTAGCAACAAAGAACCTCTCCTCGTTTCATTTTTTCTTCGCAGCAGATTTGGTAACCTTGGCGCCACTTGGATCCTTCTTCTCCACACTCTTGATAACACCCACAGCAACCGTCTGTCTCATGTCCCTGACGGCAAACCGCCCAAGCGGCGGATACTCGGAGAAAGTCTCAACAACCATGGGCTTGGTAGGAACCATCTTCACAAATCCAGCATCTCCATTCTTCAGGAATTTCGGCTCTTTTTCGAGCTCTTTACCGGAGCGCCTATCGATCTTGGTCAAGATCTCGGCGAACTTTACAGCAATGTGGGAGGTGTGACAGTCGAGAACTGGAGCGTAGCCATTGCCAATCTGGCCTGGGTGGTTCATGATGATGACCTGGGAAGTGAAGTTGGCAGCTTCCCTGGCTGGATCATCCTTGGAATTGGAAGCAACAAATCCACGTTTCAAGTCTTTCACTGCAACATTCTTGACGTTGAAGCCAACATTGTCCCCTGGAAGGGCTTCTTGAAGAGCCTCATGGTGCATCTCAACTGACTTGACTTCAGTTGTAAGGCCGGTGGGGCCAAAGGTGACAACCATTCCTGGCTTGAGGACTCCGGTTTCGACTCGGCCGACGGGGACGGTTCCGATTCCGCCGATCTTGTAGACATCCTGCAGAGGAAGGCGAAGCGGCTTATCTGTGGGACGCTTTGGTTCCTGGATCAGGTCAAGGGCTTCAAGTAGGGTAGGGCCCTTGTACCAATCGAGATTTGTTGACCTCTCAATCATATTGTCACCTTCAAAACCAGAGATTGGCACAAAGGGGATCTTCTCTGGGTTGTAACCAACCTTCTTCAGGTAGGAAGACACCTCCTTTACAATTTCATCATATCTAGCCTTTGAGTACTTGGGAGTGGTGGCATCCATCTGTTGCATCCAAATGAAGTTAGTAAAGCAACATTATATTATAACTAATAAGAATAACAAACAAGCAAAAAGACAAATACTAACCTTGTTACAGCAACAGATCATTTGTTTGACACCAAGAGTAAAAGCAAGAAGGGCGTGTTCGCGAGTCTGACCATCCTTGGAGATACCAGCTTCAAAACCTCCGGTGGTAGAATCTATAATGAGTACAGCACAGTCTGCCTGAGAAGTTCCAGTGATCATATTCTTGATAAAATCGCGATGACCGGGGGCATCAATGACAGTGCAATAATATTTTGTGGTTTCAAACTTCCACAAGGCAATATCAATGGTGATACCACGCTCTCTCTCGGCCTTGAGTTTGTCGAGCACCCAAGCGTACTTGAATGACCTCTTGTTCATCTCAGCAGCTTCCTTTTCAAACCTCTCGATAACACGCTTATCGATGCCACCGAGCTTGTATATGAGGTGACCAGTAGTGGTTGATTTCCCAGAGTCGACATGACCAATTACTACAATGTTGATATGAACCTTCTCCTTTCCCATTGCTACTTCTCTTTAGACTATAATAAAAAATGTCTTCAAGTTAGATTTTTGTCACCTGACTGTTTTATAAGAACAAAACTCCTAAGAAATATTACATGGTAAATCCCATTGTGGGGTAAGCACAAATGTGTAGAGAAATATAATAAAGAAAAGAAACAAAGCCATTCAATAGGTTCTCAAGCCACATCCAAATTCTAGGAAAATCTCATATTGGAAGGTTACAACATCCCGAAAAATTTAGATTTGGAAAAGTTCAGCATCCTCTTGAACAGAATTAGTACATAAGCACAACATTTGAAATATCTCCAAGAACAATATAAACTCATCAAGATTCAATTGTAACACTACCTTCAGAAAATAACCAACCTAATAGATCAGCGTAACAGCAATAATCAATACAACACTGACGTCACATAGTGAAATGCGCATGTCTCATATAAGGATTGCATTACAATGACTGCATCATTATACATAATATTGTATTCTAAACAATTGAAACTTCAGGATACGTCATGACTGAAACAACAAACACTCCATTTTTTTTTAATTCTAAGCAGTAAAAAATAAATAACTAAATCTTAAGATCAATTCTCAGAACATGTGGAAAATTTATTGAGTCCATGAAATGTGGGGAGTGGGAGTAGTGCATACATTGCAGGCGCAAATGCACAGCTAGGGGTGTAAACGAGTCGAGCTGAGTCGAGTCAAGGCCCTATAGAGCTTGGCTCGTTAGTCGGAAAGTCAGCTCGAACTCGAGCTCGTGCCATTGTAAACATGCTCGAGCCAGCTCGCGAGCCACATGCAAGACTTTTAAAATTTTGGAAGGATTTTTAAAATTTAGAAGGGATTTTCAAAACTTAGGCGGGACTTAGGCGGGATTTACAAAAATAGATGCAATATTTAGTATTTATTATTAAAATTTATAAATAAAATAGATTATTTAAAAAATATTAATAATTATTCAAGCCGGCTCGCGAGCCGAGCCTCATCAAGCTCGAACTCGAGCTTGACTTATAAGCTCGATAAGCTCGGCACACAAGCCCATAAACAAGTTGAGCTCGAGCCGTCTCGGCTCACTTACACCCCTATGCACAGCTACAAGAGTACACAACTTCGTATTACACTCACTAGAGAAAATTGTTTTGTACTCATATCTACACGTATGCAATGCTACAAATGTTGCATGGATACAATAATTTCTCTGACATGTAAGGCAAAGCTATAAACAATTTCGATACTCATATCTTCATCTATACACTAGCTATCAGAAAACATTTTCACAACGACAGCAGACTTTTAATCCCTAAAGAACTATATAACATCAATTATCACAAAATAAAAATATCTACCAAAACAAATGAATAAATTTTCAAGTGAATGAAGAACATACTTGTATGTTCAGTTTATTTAAGGATGCAAATACAAAAATAGCTAATCTTTCTGTGTTTTACAAGTTTATAACTACCTTGAAAGATAAAACCATAACAACCACCAGCTCCATGAAAGATTTACCCTTGATTTGATCTGACCTTGGTTAGATACCGTTGTAAGTCATTTGGTCTGATCATGAGACAAACCAAATCTAATTATGGTCTAGCTTCAAGTTTAATATGATCCAAAATAAAATAGAAATTTGATTTTTTTTTTCAAAAGGAATACCCGGTTCAATCTACGTATGTGCATGTATGGATATCGGATCCACTCTCGAGCTATTCATATTAGAAACATGTTAGGCTCAACTAAAGATAGATTCAAACTTGACATGGGTTGGACTCATTAGTCAACTTGTTGATTTCAACCCAAGCTCAAGCATGGCCAAAAAAGAATCCAATGGTTAAATTCTCAATCTTGTCAGCCAAAATCTTCAGGGAGGAGGCACACAAATCCATTTCAGTATAATAGGGGATTCTTCTTCCCACAGGTGTATAATATCATTTGCGGTTATCACGTTTTTCCTATTTCTCTTTATATATTCAAAATTATGAAAAAAAAAAATAACGCCGAATCAGTGTAGCAATATTAGAACCATTTAAGAAGCTTAAACATAAGAAAATGTTGCACAGGGCGATCCGCCTTCTAGGCAACAACTGTCATAAGAATTTTACTAGTATCTAAAAAAATCAACCTAAAATCTGAAGAACAGAACATGAATATGAATGAAAAAAAGCTCAGAAACACATATCTTAAAATTCCCAAAGGTCCACCGTAAACGGAACAAAAGAACAAATCTACAACCTACAAACAAAGATTAAATAAAGAAAATCAATTGCTCCAAAGCGTGTGATTGCAAGAAGAAAAAAACCTCATCGGCAGTACCAAACGGAGTAACCCTTCCTATCTGGATGCTACCTCAGGTCAGCGTGTAGAGGAAAAACCCTAAAGGGTGTCAACTGCGTTTTATAGAACATTTAAGTATCAAATTACCCTTACTCGCTACCATAGATGGAGCCCATTTTCGCCTTTTGTTTTGAAAATTATTATTTTTTTGGACATTTGAACCATGAAAGTGAATAGCCGAGTACATGTATTACATATGCAAGCCTCAAATTCAATACTTCTTAGTCAGTAATCAAACCCAAGACCTCTTAGTTAATAATTCTAATCAATTATTAGTAACCCAAAAAACCGAAGGCCTCTTAGTTAGTAATTTATTTACTACAAAAATCATATCAAATGCATAAACATCACATTAAAATACAGGCAGTGTTTTAAAAAAAGGCCATTAAAAAGACTTATGATTTAAAAAATAACTTAGATCTATGTTGCGAAAAAAAATAAAAACTTAGATATTAAAAATGGTGGAGCCAGCAAATTTTGCCAGTGGGGGCCTAAATTTATTTTGACAATTTTTTCCTCAGCAGAAAGGAACGATTAATTACAAAAAAATAACTTTGTTATGTATAACAATTAACTTTTAACAAAACGACAAATCTCAAATGGCTTTCATTTAGATCTTATAACACTACGCATAAGGCAGTCAAAGCTTGCTTCAAAGTGAACCAATCCCAAACTACTAAAACTTATAAGCTTGAAGTTATTCTTGATGTTCTGACTAAGATTTTTTTTCTTTGGTTTGAAAAATCAAAATGCATAACTTTCCACAGTGTTTGATAAAGTTATATATTAAACTAAAGTTATTAATTTCATTATAATGCTCAAAATAAGCTGCAGTTATTGCAACTTCAATTGCAGTTGTTTACTTCAAATTTCTCAAACTACAATTATTAACTTGATTGCTATTCATATATTTGGCTGCATACCTCTGAACTTCATTCAAGAGACTCCTTTTGGTATACCCAGTAAAAGAGAATAGCATTGTTTGGACTCACTTCAGATCCACGTTCATAATTATATAAATCCTTAAATTTTGAAATAACTAATCAAATACTTTCTCTGAGTTTAATTAAATTTAACAATTTTTAATCCAAATAATTTTCAGAATTTAATCAAACAGAAATTATTAAAATTTAGTGCAATCCTGTTTAGATCCAAACAATTTAATAGTGGATGGATAAAATAATTTTTCAAAGACAAGAAATTGAAGACAGATTGTTTGCAATTTAATGCTTACCTTATACTAAAAACTAATTTGAACAACATAGAACTCGCTTAGGCTGTGATAAAAAAAATTTCGGTCCTATTAGCTTGGGGAAATAGAGGTAAGAAGGCAATTATCCATTTTCATCGGAAGATATTTTTTTAAAAAAAAACTTCCACCTTACAGCTTACTCCCCCCTGTTTCCTCATGAATCAGACAGAAACGGACGAAAGAAGAAGCTCTTTTCGTCAAGGAGAGGGAGAGAGAGAGAGAGCTGGCAGAAGATGAAAACCTTCTCTCTGCAGAGACAATCAACTGTTTCCTAATGATTCACAAAGAAACAGTGCAACCTAAATGTGTAGAGAGAGAGAGAGAGAGAGAGAGAGAGAATGAGCAGATATAGCTGAGGGAGAATATCAAACATTCTCTTTAAAAAAAAAATTCTGATGCATCACAAAGAAACGGACCAAACAAAACCGTGGGGAGAGAGAGATTATCTTACATTTTTTCCTCTCTGGAGCGGTCGAGCGGAGCAGCCGAGCAGGTGAACGACTCTTCCTCACAGAAGTCGGAGCGCGACCTATCGAAGCAGGAGAACCGCGAACGAATCTTCCTCAAGCGGCGTCGAGCGGAGCAGACAAATCGCTAGAGCAGCGAATCGCAAGGAAATATAAATTAGGGCTTAGCGTCGAGCGGAGCAGATGAATCGCGAGACCAGCGGGTCTTTCTAAATTTCGGGGGTGGGGTGCAAGCGATTCAGCGCTAGTCGCGAGTCAAATCTAAAGCTTGAACTAAGTCCAGCTCAAAAGATAGAGCTTGAATTTGACTCCTTACTAAAAATGAGCTTTTCGAGTGGCTCAATTACACGATTCAAACTGAATCGTAGACAGCAGCTCACGGACGTGATTCGTAGGCGCTTTCCCCCCTTTCTATTTGGCTTCTTCGTCCCGCACGCGCTTTTGTTCAAGTTCTCCCCGGCCGCTCTACCATCAGCCTTCTGCATCCAATAACCCCCACTCCCCACCCCTCCCCCCGCCACTCGATGACTAATCTAGTCTAGCCTTCTATAGTTTGAACTTGAGCTCGATAATTCAATAAGTTTGAAACCCGATAAGCTCGACTCGTGAACTCGTTAATGAGTCGAGCTCAAGTTTGCGAGTCAACTTAACTCATTTGCACCCCTATTCTTAGATTGCCTCTATATGTCCCTAGATATTAAAAAAATATTTATGATCCCAATTGATCTCAATGAAGAAACCCAACACTGCTCTCTTTGGTAAGGAGCGATTCTTTAATTGGAGCTTCAACCACATTTCTTTGATTCTTTCTTTACATCAACTATTTCTCTCATCTTTTTATGAGAGGAGCAAAAATTGCTCCTATTCATGTTCGTTAACCTATTATTTACTTTCTAAAATCAATATATATGGGCAATTCCTCTTCCAACAAATTTTGGGGCTTCCATAGCCTATAAGAGTAGACACAACCTCAAAAAGAAATTAAAGAAAATAATGGTGTTAGATAACTAAAGTAGAGAAGTATTTATAGACAATTATATGCCTCTAAAAAATTCATGAAATGTCAAATTGGAATGATTAAATTTGATAATTTTTTTATTCTTGTTGCGTCATGGAGTATTCGCGATGGTTGAGAAATATGTAGTTTAACGTCTTAACGTTGTACGAAGATCCAGCACAAAATCAGATAAGAGAGAGAGGGTGTAGCGTTCATAAGAGACGCCAAAGAATTTTCGTGGAACCCCCTGAAAAGGGGAAAAAACCACGGGGCCTCGCTCAGTTTGAATGAATCCACTAGTATTTGTAGTTTATTAAACATGAGGCCCTTCTTAGGGAGAAGGCCTTGGCATGATGTTACAAATATACGTCCTATAGAGCGCATTATATGGTGGGAGTTATAATAATCAATATAGACATGTTTGTTTGGTTGGAAGGAAGGGTCATTGTAGGTGATGGAGGTCCGAAGGACCATAATAGGCGATGAAGGTTGAAATGATCATAATCGACAAGAGACAGAGGTCCGAAAGACCGTAGTTGGCAGGAGATCGAGGTCAGAAAGACCATTGTCTAGCAATGTAGGCCGGAAGGATCGTAGTAGGCGACGAGGAAGAAGGACCATAGTTGATAGTAGACATGGGTCCAAAAGACCGTTGTAGTAAGACAATACTGTGGTAGAATTCTGGACATCAGGTGTGGCCTAACAGAAGATTGAGCCTCAAGAAGTGTTCCAGCATAAGTCTGAGCCTTAGGTGGTGGTCCGGCAAAAGTCTGAGACTCAGGTGGTGGTCCGGTAAAAGTTCGGGCCTCAAGAGGTAGTCCAACAGAAGTCAGGGCGTTAGATGGTGGTCCGACGGAGCAACTAAGTCAAACGGTGGTCTGACATAGTATGAGTGTCAATTTCGGGTCACAGGTCGGGTTCGGGTCGAACCCGGAACTGACTCAGGTTCAAACGGGTCGACCCTAACCCGACCCGGGTAGACAAACGGGTCGGAAATACGTGGTCCGGTGGAGCATCGACATCAGGCAGTGGTCCGACGGAGGTGAGGGCCTCAAGTGGTGGTCCGATGAAGACGAGGGCCTCAAGTGGTGGTCCGACGGAGCAGCGACGTCAGGCGGTGGTCCGGCGCAGGCGAGGGATTCAAGTGGTGGTCTGGTGGAGCAACGGGTTAGGCGGTGGTCCGTCGGAGGTGAGATCCTCAAGTGGTGGTTCGGTGGAGCAACGAAGTTAGACGGTCGTCGGGCGGTGGTGAGGGCCTCAAGTGGTGATCCGGCGGAGCAACGGCATCAAGCGGTGGTCCGACAGAGCTCAGACCCTTAAGTGGTAGTCCGACAAAACTCCGGGGTCAAGCGGTGGTTCGGCAGAGTAGAGGGCCTCAAGTGGTGGTACGATGAAGACGATGGCCTTAAGTGGTGGTCCGATGGAGCAATGACGTCAGGCGGTGGTCCGACGGAGGTAAGAGCCTAAAGTGGTGGTCCGACGGAAGTCCGAAGGTGGTCGAGGAGGAGCTTCTTCCTTCTCTTCCTTCTTTTCTTCCTTCTTTTCTTCTTGCTTTGGTTCCTCTTTCAAAAGAAATGAGGGGTCTATTTATAGATTTTTGGAGTGGCATGGTCCGTAAATAGGTGATAGATCAAGGGTGAATGGGGAGTGGTTGGATGGACAGTCGATATTGAATTCCTTGATCACGTACCGTTTGTCAGACATTTTAAGGCCTTAATGATGTCGGAATTCAGCGATATTGGGCTCGTTGGATTCATCTCGCCGAGCCGCTCAATTCGATTATAAGCACGTCATGTTTGGAAACCGTTTGATAACCCAAATTGTGGTTAAAACCTTCCAAAAGCGCTTTTGGTCCTTGATTTGGACTCAGATTGAGTCGAATTTTGTGTCGTTGGTTTCATATTTCCAAGACCTTCCGCTTGACTGTAAGTTTGCTGAAATCGGAGTTCAGATGGTTCCAATTTTAATTTCAAAAGTTTCCAACTTGATTTTGCATCGAGATTCGTGCCCGATCAAGATAATTTTTTGATGACGTATCAATTCTAAATCATTATCTTATTCATTTAATAAATTACCCCTCAACAACAACAACATCAAGCCTTTATCCCACTACGATATAATAAATTACCCTAAACCCTAAACCCTAAATTACCCCTCAACGATATAATAAAAAAAAAAGTTACCCCTCTAGGATATAACAGGAGCTAACTCTAAAACCAAATGTTCAAATAACCCAATTTAAATATAATAAGTCAGCCATAATTTAAACACAATTTTTTAAAGAAACAAGTTTGATCCACATAAGTCAAACTTTTTACAGATATAAGTAATTTAAAATTGTATTTAAATAAAAAATAAATTATTATTTAATTAAAGTATAATTTTCATATGCGAGATATCACATAAACCTCAAAGCAAATGAGAAATTTAACTTTGGGGGGGGGGGGGGGGGGGGGGTGGTAATACAAATAACATGGCGAGGGAGGTGAGAAAGGGAAACTGAAAGCCGTGCTCGAGATTGCGAGTCGCGTCTGATTCATTGTCCCTTAAGTTAGAGAAATATGTTTATTATTTCATTTATTATAGAATTATGCTCAAAAGTTTATTTGGTTGATTGATTTTAGAAGTTCGTCGTGGAAAGTTTTGATTAGAATTTTTTTAAATTCAAATTAAGTTCGAACATGTTTCAATTGAACATTCCTTCTCATGCGCATTCTCCCACAATTCCTTCCACAGCCAACCCATTTCACATATAAGTTATGAGTTCCCATCCACAACTAGCATCAAGTCTTGAGTTTTAGGCTTTGTTTGGGACGGCTTTCTAACTGTTTCTTAAAGCAGCTTTCTACCACACAAATTTTAATTTTTACACTAAAAAATTACTTTAAGAAGCAATAAAAAAACAGTTTCAAGCAAAACCTTAGTCTTGAGTTCCAGTCCTGTGATGCAAGCTCTGATGAGTTTTGTTTTTCTTGCTTGCCTAACCCAATAAACCCATAAAGCGCAATACCAACTCTAATGATGTTCGTCCATCTTGTTGGAGAGCCCCCAATGAACTCCAATTATGATACATCATGATCTCACATTATTTTAAAATTAAGTTTGAATTTAAGATTACTTTTTGGATCAGTTTGAATATTTTTTTTTGTTGAAAAGGACTTCAATTAATAGTCCAAATATAAAAAATTTAATGTAACTAAAAAAAAAAAATGGATTTTTTTTTTAAATAGGGGTATATTAAGGGCATGTAAATTGTAAAGTTAAATTTCTGGAGAAAATGCGATTTTTTATTTTTATTTTTATATTTTTAGAGCCGAACAAATGCGGGATAGGAGATAGAGGCTGCGAAGAGGGAACATAGCCATGAATCGTCCGCGCCCTCTTCTCTCCCTCGCTAAATCCCTCTACTCTGTCCATCACTCCTTTCTTCGATCCATCTCTTATACCTCTCCTCTTTGTCTCCAAACCCTAGATCCCGAACCTTCACCTGCGGCGGCGCCGCGCACCCTGACAGAGCTCCGCCGCCGTCTTGAATCTGAATCGCCGAAACTATCCGACTTTGTGTATTCGGTGGAAGTTGGGACGAAGAAAAAACCTCTGCCCAAGCCGAAATGGATGCAAGCAACAATCCCTGGAGGGGCCAAGTACGCGGCCATCAAGGCTAAGTTGCGGGAGTTGAACTTACACACGGTCTGCGAGGAAGCGAAGTGTCCTAACCTAGGAGAATGTTGGTCCGGCGGTGAGACGGGGACCGCCACCGCCACCATTATGATTCTGGGAGATACCTGCACGAGAGGTTGCAGGTTGGTGGATTGTGGTTGCATTAATCATGTATTTTTTATTCTGGAACAGTAAGGAAACAAGAGCCAGGTCCTTTCATCTGAATTTCAAATTTTGTCCGTGAGATGGAAGGCTTAAGTTGGTCATTGGTCATAATAATTTGATGATTTGGGAGGATGCAATCAAGTGATTTTTAACAATTGAAGTTAGAGAGATCAAATTAGTTTGTATGTGTCGCAAAGGAAAAAAGGCTAAATGGAAAATATGGTTAATCATTCCACCATACGAGGGGAGGGTAGTGAAGGTGTTTTGTGAATTTTCCATTTGGAGTTTGGATCAATAATTTGTTGGGGTCCTCATTTTTTTTCATAATGAACTTATTCTGCCTGTAATTTTTGAATTGGATTGCCAAAGAAGGTTGTGAGCCTCAACATTTTGCATTTCAATTCATTAAAGCAGTAAATAGTTGAAATGATACTTAAAGGAAGATGGCTTATTAGTCTAAAGTTCGTACAAAATGTAGACTGATTAACGATCGAACTTTGAGGTTGAATCCAATGATTGAGATTGGGGATTGTTTCATGATGTTTATGTATGTGTTCGTGTTTGGATAACCAAGTCCGATTGTGTAAATAAAACAAGCTAAGTTGGATAAGCCAAACAAGCTAAGCTGGTACTTCTTTAAGAAGAAAAAGAAGAAGATGAAGAAGATGATGATGATTATGACGTTGATGTTTGAGAAGATATTTAAATGGTCAGCTACAATATCTAAAATATTGTATAGTTGCTTCCTTTTTTATTTAAATGCTATTATGAAGTTTCCATGTTCTAACGTTTCAAATATCTTCAACCTATTTAATTTCTAAGGTGCTTGATTTATTGCACCACCACCAAGTAATTAGTGGAAGCACAGCAAGAGGATAAAATTATGCCAGAAAGATTAAGGCATAAAGGCTTAAAACATGTATTTAAAGAGTTTTTGCACGTGTTATGATGAAGTAGCATAGAAAATAACCTCAATTTGTTACAAAAGTTGAAGTTCTAGAAGATGCCACAATACTAAAGCCTTTTAAATGGGAGTCAGAGTTTGATATTGATGTAATTGTTTGTGATGAGCATGTCATTAAGGGGTCAACAGATGCTATTGGGTGTTTAGGGTATGTTGTCCAATTCTATGTTGAACTGTATCACTGAAAATACTGTATCTACAGAATTATGATTAGTTCCCTTTTTATTGGTACTCGTTTTTTTTTTGGTCTAAATATTGATCTTTCACTACAAGATCTTTGAGTGATCAACCATTTTTCTTAATCTGGAAAGAAGTACTTTGGGTTCTTGAACATGACTAAACTTTGCCATAGTTGCTGCCTCAGCAATTCTTATTTTTTGTTTTTTGAAAAAATCAGTACTTAAATATTTTTTGATCTTTCATTGAACCATGTTTCCAGATTTTGCAACGTTAAGACAGCAGCTCATCCTCCAGCACCAGATCCAAATGAACCCTCTAATGTTGCTCATGCAATTGCTTCTTGGGGTCTAGATTATGTGGTGATCACAAGTGTTGACCGTGATGATTTACCTGATCAAGGCAGCAGCCATTTTGCTGAAACAATTCAGAAGCTCAAGATACTGAAGCCAAACATCTTAATTGAAGCATTGGGTAGGTTTGCCATAATCATTTTTGTTAAGTATTTGAGTTTATTGCAGTGGATGATATCCATATATACCTATCACTATTATAATAATATGTGGGATAAATTTGTGAATCTATTTAAAACCTTCAATTTAGCAAGCCCTTTCTCTACCAATGCTTGGGGTGTAGTCATTTAGTGATTAAGGGTGAAATAAAAAAAATCTATGTTTTTGTGAATAACTTAGAAGTTAGTTGCTTCCATTTTTAACGAACTTGCTTTTAAGTTTCCTTTTGAACTTGAAAGTGAAGCTCCAAAAATAAAATAAAAATAACCTATGATTTTGTGAATAACTTGGAAGGCCTTTTCTCTACCAATGCTTGGGGTGTAGTCATTTAGAGATTAAGGTTGAGATAAAAAAAATAAACCTATGATTTTGTGAATAATTTAGCAGGCCTTTTCCCTGCCAATGCTTGGGGTGTAGTCATTTAGAGATTAAGGGTGAGATAAATGATTTTGTGAGTAACTTGGAAGCTAGTTTCTGCCATTTTTAACAAACTTGCTTTTAAGTTTCCTTTTTGTACTTGAAAGTGAAGCTCAAAAAAAAAAAAAGCTTTTATGATGTGGTTTGATGCTTAATGTGTTTTAAGTGCGCGATAGTTGTGTGCAAGAAATGATTTGAAATTGGTAGAGCTCCTTAGGGTATGTCATTCACAATGATCATTTGCTTCTTACACATACACAAAACAAGAAAAGGTTAAGTCTGCCCCAAGCAGTGTTTCCCTAGGATGACACTTTGGTGCTAAAGTTAATGTGTTTGAAGGAAAGAATGTATCGATAGAGCTTTCTCCGAGCAATGGAATGCTTTTTGGTTGGTTTTAACTTGTTTTTAAGTGATTTTGATTTGGTTTAGTTGTTTGAGTTATCTTTTGGTTGAAATAGATTTGAAACTTATTGATAATTTTGATTTTGACTTGTTTCATCAGTTTCAACTAAAACTTAGGAGTTTTGGTTGAGTTTCAACAAAGCTTCAAGTTAAAATTAAAAGTTTTACGTGAAAATTCATAAAATTTAAAGAAATTTTACTAAAAATCTTAAAAAGTCACCAAAGATTTACTATATATCTATAAGTTGCCATTATATTTTATGTCTATTATAACATGAACCCTAATTAGATAATTCTCTTTATTTCATACCTTAAATTTGCATTACTGTAATATTTTATAATCAAAGAGTAATTCATTTTGCATCATAAAACTTCAATTTAAATATTTTATGGCAGGCCTGAAATTGAAGCAAAAATCTAGTTTTGAAGCCTTGGTTTTTATCGTCCTCATGGCTGGTATTTATAAGAGTAGAGAGAGTCGCCTTAGATGGTTTGCTCACATAAAATTTCGGCCTTTCAATGACCTGGTTAAGAGGGTAGATGTATTAAATTTGTCTTATGTTAAGAAAGGTATATGTTGATCTAAAAGACTTGGTTAGAAAATATTAGAAATGACATATTTTTATTAGATTAAATGATAATTTGACTCTTAACAGAACACAATGGAGAAAAAAAGATTCATATAGCCGAGCCCATGTAGTGGGATAAAGGTTTGTTGTTGTTGTTGAGAAGATTCTAACATTTTGATTTTCCATTCTTCTTATCTAGTGGCCCTTGGTCTGTGCCCTCTTTGTCTTCTTTGGTTTTGTTAGAGTTTTAAGGGAATTGTTGTTGATGGACAATGATAGAGTCATCAACAATCATTTGGGCCCAACATGATGAACGAGTTTCATGTAATTGCAAAGTATTTTTCACATCAAGTGATCAAGGCTTATTAGAATGGCCTTTGGAAATGTCCTCCAAGGAAGATTCCCCTTAGGAGTTCTAGATTAAATCTTGGAATATATTGCATCTTACTTGAAAGTCTCAAATAGTCTTTTAAGGATTTTCATTCATTTTGACGAATATGGAATACATGAGGAAAATCTTTGATAACTTTTATATTGTCGATGAATTGGTGGGCAATGAGCTTAACCAACTTATCAAATGTGGTGCCACTAGGAAGGAACTAAAATCATGTTTAAGCTTGCTTCAGTGTAGTGCAGAATACTTAATAAATGAACAAGTCAATGGTTTGTTGAATATATATGATGATTCTATAATGGTCCACATGCTAATAGAGATTCATGGTCTCATCATAAGCATCCATAGGGCATGGTGGGCATCTGGAACTCCAAAGGGATATGATGACCTAGTACGAATGTTGTAGATGGGGTAGTCTCTTGAAGATCTTGTTGAGCACAAGGGGTTATTTCCTGCTCCGGGGGAAGAGAAGGTGGGTGGCAGAGGCATCATAACTTGTCTCTTAAAAGGTTTAATGAAAGGCCTTTAAACCGTTATGAATGTTCCAACACCATCTGGAGTATTGAAAATTGTCTCAATTTCTTGAATTGGTGGCAATGAGATGATCATCTCCTTGTTGTTGTAGTTGAGCAGGTCACAGAACCTCGGTCTGACAATACTATTTCCATGAGTGTTTTAGAGACGACACTCCTCAATGTGCACCAGGTTAAGAGGAATATGGTTGCTTGGAGCGTTTGAATGTGTTAGTTTTATTTGACGGGAATCCAAAAAGAATATGATTTAAAGTTGCGCCTCTTTCATCCTTCACACTTGTTCTTCTAGAAAAAAAGTTGAGATTTGTCAGATAAGAGATGGATTGTACTTTTTATAGTCTCATAATACTTGATTTGTTTAGTGGTTACTTGTTTGAGGTGGCGGTGGTGGTACCCACAAGTTGAAATGACTAGAGTAGGAGAGGTTTCCAGCACAAAATTATTATCTTGGAAATAATTTGAAGTTGGTAGGTCTCTTTACGGTATACTGTTTGTAATGATCAATCACTTCTTGCACATACGCATGGAGGGAGATCTCTTCATGTTTCACATATTTTGTAGGGTAGCCACAAGGTGAAATCACCATATTGGAAAAGGTTTCCAACGTAAAATTATAATCTTGGAAATAATTTGGACTCGGTAGGTCTCTTTAGGGTATGCTGTTTATAATGATGCACATGCACATAACCAAAGAAAATGTGAGTTTGCCCAAGGATTGCTTCAGTAGGAATACACTCTGATGCTCAACTTAGTAAGCGGCTTTGAAGCCAAGTATACTTCAATAAAGCTTTATTTAAGTTATGGAAGAGTTTTTGAATAATGTTTACCCACCGCTGCTTGTCCGGGTGGTGAAGAGCCGGTTGGGCAAAGCCTAGGTCCCTAGTTCGAATCCCTTGGCAAGCAGTGAAAGCCTTAAGTGTTGGCTCATGTAAATTGGTGTGGATTGCATGTTAGGTCGACCGGGGTTTTTACTGGCCTAAGGACAGTGCTTCCTCATCACAAAAAAAAAAGTTTACCTTCCAACTAAGTCGTATTTATAGTTGTGGCGATGGATGGTAGTTTAGTATTTTTGCTGAGGTAAAAGTGGATCATAAATGGAAAATATATTTTATCTCTAAGATTTTTAATTGATTGTAATTATCCAGCTGAGTGGTATTTTTATCCTCTGGTGAGTGGAAGAGCTGCTGAATAGGATGCCTTATTTTTACGATTAGAGTCGAACAATCATACCCCTAGGGTAATGGATGAAATTGTTAGACTTTGAGATATGTGTTGTTGGATATTGGAATCAGCCATTTGATTGTTTTAAAATTTGTGCTGAGTGTGATCTGAATTAAATGATTTGAACTTAGTTGAACTTTTATGGTTGGTGCTAGTCCTTTAGGCTTTACTATAAGCGCCATTACATATCTTGAGGCAATCCAACAATGTTAATTCAGAAGGATCATTTCTTTGTCTTGCCCCCGTTGCATGAGGATCGCAAAAGTACATCTTGGTGGTGGGATTAACTGGGACACTATGGTTTTATAGGGATGTATCTATACTAATGCCATAGCCTGCCACAAATCAAAACGTCTAATCCTAATAATTAATAAAGCATTAATAAAGCATAAAGATTTCGTCACATTCACACATCAAATTAGTTATTGGATAAACCAAAAATCCCCTTTAGTGGTTAATCCCTTTTGTTCTTTAGATTAAATCTAAAGAATCTTACTAGATTGGAGTCGAATAAACTGTTTAAATCATTGAGAAATATGCATGTCTGATGTTTTTTTTATCTTATGCTGGTTCTTGTGAGTATATATATATATATCATTGTTTAAAAGTGCGTAATGTGAGATGCGCATAGATGCTCGCCTTTGCACAATTCTGGAGAAAAACGCTTTGAGGCATACACCTCAAGCTTTTATTGTGAGGTCACCTCAGTTTCGTTGAGGCGCTTGCCTCATTGGCATGAGATGTACGCCTCACCCTGTTTATTATATATTAAAACTTATGTAAATCTTAAACTAAAACCCTGAACAAAGCATATTTTTATGCACTCCTGAGTCACAACAGCTTCCTCTCGATTGCCTTGACCTCCACCTCACTATCTCTGTCGTCGTAGCCATACTATTTTAGCTTGGGAGACATTGGACTCAATAAGTGATCATGCAGTGGAGAGAGAAATTCGTTACGATGACAAGTCAAATGAAGACCTCCTCAATGATGATAATGCAGATGGCTTTTGAGTTATTTTCATACTATTTTAGTTTTATTTAGAAGCTAAATGTGGATGAGTAGGATACCGAGAAAGAATGAATTTAGAGTTGAACTTCATGTTATATAATATTTTAATACAATTCCTATATTTTCTATTGTTTTGCTTATGTGATGTTTAAATTTCAATTCTATTTTATGCAATTTACTAATTGTCACTTTACATCTTGTGCAATTTTTGTTTAATATGTATGCCAAATTGTTACTCCATAGTTAATAGAAAGTAAATATGTTATTTTGTTATCATAAAAAATTACATTTAACCTTTATGCTTATTTTCCATAATTTTTTAATTTTGAGGCTTACATCTTGCCTTATGAACGAAAAACACTTCAATATCCAATATATATATATATATATATATATATTTCGTATTTATATCCCA